AGTTATGGTTCTTGTGCACTGCACTTCCTCTCAATGTGCTTGACCATTGTATGTAGTTATATTGAATTCCAACCATTAGTTTTCAAGTTATGCTCCGGACAAGGAAAATGCAACGGACGTCTGGACCGACCGACAGACCGCCCGACCGACCAACCGACCGACCGACCGACCGACCGACCACCGGGTGACTCCTATATACCCCCCCAAACTTCGTTTTTGGGGGTATAATGAGCAGGCTTTACAAGTTGATGAAAAAGTTAAAACAGAAATGGAGAGATTGCTTAAAGATGCTTCTCTAGAATTGTGTTATGTTCCCTTGGAATCTATACATTTATTTTCAAAAATGGATTTTAAAATCGCATTCAACAATTGTAGGTCATTAAACAAGCATTTCATTGATGTGAAACATGATCAAGGATTGTTGTCTTGTGATATTATTGGATTGGCAGAAACTAGATTACATGAAAATGATAATGATACTTCTTATCAGATACAGGGATACCATTTAATACGCAATGACCAGTGTACTGCATCAACATCTGAAAGACCTCCACATGGGTTACTTATTTATGTCAAAGCTGATGTATTAGTAAAATCTGCAGACTGCTTTAGCTCCCAGAATTTTGAATTTGTTCTTCTGAATGTTGCAAGAGAATTAAGTGAAATGCAAGTTGTAGTATTGTATAAATCACCAAAAATGTCAGATTCTGCTTTTCGCACTATGCTGACAGAGAAACTCTTTCCACATTTGGTACCCCATAAGCCTTTAGTTATTCTGGGTGATTTTAATATTGATGTTTTAAATTGTCATAGGGGTGTTTTGCAGTATTTGTATGATAAGCTTAACTGTAAATTACATCTTAATGAACCTACAACTGATAATCTATCAGCATTAGACTTGATAATAACAAATATTGATGCCACTGTGGGTACAGTAGAAACTTACTGGTCAGATCACAAAATTATCTACTGTTGTACAGAAAGAATCTCTACACAATAAAATATGATGCTAACCCAAAAAACAGCCATTGCTTTACTTACCAGCTCTTCTTAAAAATTTCACCATTTTACAGATTTCTCTTTCAGATATCTTTGTCACTCAGACTGTATTCAACCTAACACTGTAATTTCAAGTCTTCGTATAAATAATAAAAAAAAAATGTTGATTTACTTGTAGTCTTTGTCATTGTCTTACACTTGTACACAGTGACATTGGTCACAAAATATTGTGACATAGATTTTTATGATGTTATTGACGCATTTAACCATTTGTCAACATATTATGTCAACAAAAACTAGTGCAGATTTCAAACTAAGTTAAATAGGTTCAGAAACTAAGTCACCCGATCAGAGCTTTGGGAAACCTTTGTAAAACTGAGATCACCTTTTACCCAGTTTAATTGAAACTAGAATGTTTGCCTTCACAAACTCTAAATACAGGCATTCACCCATGCCTCAGGTGAGCGACCCAGGGCCCAAGGGCCCTCTTGTTATGTCTTTTAATTTATTTACTATAATATTTCTTAAACCAGAACAGATATTTACTTGAAACTTAAAATTTATGCAAATGGTTACAAGCAAGCTCAGATGACGAAAATTCTACAATTCCATTGATTTATGACACAAGTTATGCCCCTTTTAGGCTTAGAAAATTTTCTGATATAACCATTAATACTTAAATGTTTCTGAAACTAGAACAGATATTCACTTGAAATTTAAAATATATTTAAAGAATTACAAGCAAGCTTATCAGAACCGTTTATTGCTTATAATTTATATAGATCCCATCACATAGATGGGGTCTTGCAGAACCCATGCCACTCTTAAATCACTTTGCTGCACCTCTTGGTCTGTCAGTTTGTTTGTTAGTCTGTCCATTTCCATTTTGTCCAATTTTTAAATCTTGTAACAAGTGAAGGATTTTCGTCAAACTTTGCGCACATTTTCACATCAAGAAGGTCGTGTGCAGAACCCATGTGACAGTTTAAGGGCAAGATCACGCTTTCACAAGTCAAAGTTCATGGCTACATTTATGGTGAGTATATACTGTTAATTCTTTTTTGATCATAGTAAGTAGTTGTTGTCTTGCAAATGGCACCTTTCAAGCTAAGTAAACTCTCCAGATATTTGAGAAGTTTTACATACCTTTGATAATATTTTGTAATTAGAAATTGGTCTGTATTTATGACTTTTATGTCTTGTAATTTTTTTAATTATTTAGTCGAGCCATTGAGTTTTGAAGCACAGAATTTTACTTAGCTTGGAACTGGCTACGTCCTCGTTCGTGGTGCCGGACTTCATGCATCCAATCATAATCATATAACCATGCATGTTCATATAATCATGCACAGTATCTGTACAGTTATGTGTTTATATTGTAATCCTATCACTCATATTTATGCAAGAATAACTGGTATCAGTATGCTTTGGTGATGGCTACATCTGCACTTAAAAATTACAATCACTAAATTAATATCATTTATTGGATTCATGATGACAAAAGCCAATTATTTTTAATGATTCTATATCAGCTTTTTATTTAAATAGATTGGTGTTTGGCTATTTCAAGTACACAGTTATTTACATAGATGCATGTTTCTTGCTTTATTCTAGACATACTGGAACGTGGACAATCCAATGCCAATTTAGGTCAAATGGATAAGCAGATCTTATTTTTCATGCAAATAATTTTTTTTCTGATGCCATACTAATATTTATTATAAATCATCAAGCCATAAAACCCTTATAGAGTTTATAACCTGTTTGTACTTCAGAACAATAATGGATATCTATAGCTGCATTGATGTCTGGCTATTTGAAGTACATGGCTATTTAAATAGATTAATGTTTCTTGCTTTAGTCTAGGCATACTGAAATGTGGACAACCCTGGAATAAGAATTGGAATTGGCCAATTGGATAAGCAGTCACTGTTTTTCATGCAAATAATCACTTTTTGATTCCATACTAATATTTATTATAAATCATCAAGGCATAAAACCCTTCTAGAGTTTGTAACCTGGTTTTACTTCAGAACACCTCCATCCAATATTGCATGCTTTGTTGTTTATGAATTTCTAATATATATGTGTTCTTTAGATTTAAGTGTAATGTTCATGGTTTAAGTGAGGTCAGGTTGGAGCAATGTTTTCTACTTTCAGATTACTAATAATATAACATAAAGAGTTAAAATATATCTGTAGTGAATCATGTTCGACTGTAGTAAGGAAGTGGAGGAGAAAACTAGTCCTGGAAGTAGTAGTGACTGTTCATCTCGTACAACTATGTCTATGACCAGTACAGACACAAATGCCAGGACAATCCAGTCCTGTTCGCCTAGACCTACTATTTCTGGAAGCAGTACTGTCTGTTCACTATTACCTTGCACAGCTACTCCTGTGACCAGTACAAACACAAATGCCAGGGCAGTCCAGTCCTGTTCACCTAAATCCACTATGACATTAAACCAAGCTGGGCTGTTGGATTCTGTAAAGAAACTGTCTACTCAAATGGATCAGCACTTTGAAGAAAATTCAACAAACCTAAAGGCAGCTATGTATCATCTGAACAAGAATGAACCTAGAGAAGTGGCACACATACTTGAGAAGGTCTTGAGGTTGAATAAATCTAAACAACAACAAATTGGCTACCAGTTTCAGACCTTAACCATGAAAAGTGCTGCTTTGCAGCAAAAGGTTAATTGTCTTCAAAGCAGAGAGAAATTTCTCCTGCAGTCAACAGCAAAGATGCAACAAAAGTTGGAGCACTTTGATCTTGCCTTCTTTGATGAGGACTTGGAGCTACCAGAACCCAAGAAATGCAAAAAGAAACTTTTTGACACTCGGGACGACGAAACAGATTGAAATTTACATTATTGATACATGATGAGAAACAGTTGTTCAATGTGTTCAACATTCTTTCTTTTATGATCTTAAGTTTTGTGAAAAACTGGGATGCAACTGATTTTTTTTTTTAATATTTAGACAATATTTCATAGATATGATTTTTATCAATGTTTATGTACATTTTTCCCATGAGACTTACAAATCATCTTCTATTGAACTGTTTGTAAAACAAGTGTTAGTTTTCTTCACAATATGCAATGTATACTTCTTTGTGTTTAACATTTTCTTTCTTTTGAAAATAATGTTTAATATAGACCTGAATCAAGGTTAATCAGTGCACAACAATATCTAAAAATTGCATTATATTTTCTTAATTGTTTATTACACTTATTAACAATTTCACGATTGATTGGAATTTAATTTGTGAATACTCTCTCAACTAAGAGAAACAATTTTTCAACATAATTAACCTGTTGGTTTTTTTTACACTATTCTATATTAGCACATGGAAATTACCAGAACATAACTGAAATTAATACATATTGCATGTTATTAAGTAACATGTACTGTTATTAATATTTGTTTCAGATGTTCCTATTTGTCATAGTTTATTTTGTGTAAAGAATATAGTTAATTAAATTGATGATTAATCATTGTAACAAGATAAATACTTATTGGAAAATTGCTTTATAAATGTTAATTACCATTATGGGACATAGGACTAAAGAGAAAGTTTTCAGAATTATGAGTTTGTGAGAAAAGGGTTTTGGTTTTATATGATTCTATAATGTATAGTAAAAATAGATAAGTGATAGCAGAATAATACAATGATTATTCAAATCCTTGCTTACCATTAATCTTAACCTCCTCTATCTGCATTTGTGGCAACAGGACATGACATATTTGTCTGTTACTAATATTCCTTCACATCATTGGTACCAAATTTGATGTTACTCAACAGAATTAACTTGAATTTCTGTGTACAGTTTTATGCTCCTAGTTTAATTTTATAAATTCTCATTAGTCATTTTACTATAAAAACCTTCATAACTTCAAATGAAAGAAAGCTTGCTGTTTATGACATTATTTTCTTCCATGAGTCTGTTGCCACATTTGTTTTAGTGGAATATAGTTCTGTATGTCAATCTGTTATAAATGATGTTAATGTTTTTGAATTTTTGAATAAAAATTTTAGGTTGCTGTGCCAGGCTACTGAAATAGAAAATGAACAGGAATAAAAAGGAGAAAGAAAGGCTGAGGAAGAGACAGTCACGACTAGTGGAAAGTCAGGTAACCTCTTTTTCAAATATATCATTGCTATAATTAAAGGGACTCCACTGATGGTTTTTGACATAAGGGGACTTAAAATAATTTTCGAGATTAATGTTGAGTTTGATGTAGGTATAGATCAATAACTTGTCTGCAAAATTTTAGATCATTTGCTCACTTCATTTTTCCAGAATAATTATTTAAATTGTTAAAAATTACCCAAAATTGAAAAGCATTGCAACTTTTTTCACTCAAATCTGGCTTAGACTAGCACAAAAAATGTAATTTTCAATTTATTTCTGAGAATATTTCTTAATTATTTTGCATATCTTTCTGTATTGAGTGCCTCTGCTGGTCTATGTAAGAAATTGAGATTGTATGTTTTTTGGTTTTTGGATCTCAGTCGTGTTCTTTTAATAATCTTTTTTAAAACTTTGTTCAGATGCTTAGTTGTTACTGCCTTATTTATTCATTTAAGTCTGTATATAGTCTTTCTACAAAAAACTAATAAAAAGAATAAGGAAAGTGAAACACACGAAACAAAGTGGGTCAGGTTTCTATAATTTTATTTAAGACCTACGTTTCGGCTATTCAATAGCCTTCATCAGGGTATGATTTTTGAAAAAAAACAAAACATTTTGTGGCTGAATATTGTCAGACTAATATTATGATCCCTCATGCTAAAACAATATTTTTAATATTCCTTAAATTCATGAATTTGGAATTTCTTCTCAAGCTTGTGACATTTTAATAGAAAACATTTTCAATCTGTTCAGAACAGAGCAGTAGAAGGTGTACAAGGGAACCCAGTACAGCCAGAGCCCTCTAGATGTCACGACCAACTCTCTGCTTTCGTGAACAATCGTGAACTTGAAAAAGGGTAGGTATATTTTTCAGGTGTTAGAACACTTTAAGGTGATTCCGCATTAGTTTTCATAACATATGAGAAATAACATGCAAATATGAAAGCAAAGAAATGAAAGGCTTCCTAGTTCCAACACATTGTGAAATGAATGAGTTAGAAAGATGTTGTTGTAAATAGTTTACTTTCATTAAAAAATGTATCTTGCTATTGGTATGTTTATTGAAAAATATAATAAAATATGCCTAAATTCCGAAGACCAAATACTAACATACCTTTACGATATTACGCACAATATGAATGTAAATTATTTAAATACACACCAAAGAAGTGACGACAAAAGTCTAAAAAGAGATTTTCTCATTATTTACCGAAATAAATTTGAAAGCCACGAGGAAAATGCACACCTTATCTTCGCCATTTTTGTTTTTTCATGCCCGTGCATAAAAGACATTTCAACACAAAATCTCGCGAATGTAAGCCAATAACATATAATAAAAAGACGCATTTCATTTAACACTGATATGTATCTTATCAAATATTACCATTTCATTGGGATGTAATGGCTTGATCTTTCTAATTGTTTAATAGTATCTGTCAGTATTTCAATGTTTACATTTTTCTATTGCGGCAGGAAATGGAGACTGTTCACAATCTCATATGTTAATACGCACATTGAGTATTAAATATAAAGATAATATCTTTATGATTTATACATTCAAGGAACTTCTTTTACTTCAATCTAAATTAAATATAAATTGAATTTTCTTTTTAGCAAAGCAGATGTTACACAAAACGCCGAATGTAAAGATTTTTTTTATGTATTTATAATCCTTATCTGTAAAGCGGTTTATTTCCGGTTTTATTGATTCTCACATTATCTATAAAAAACATACTTAATCGAGTTAACGACATAGGGCCTATTGCATGGCAGGTGTACCTTTTTAATAATAAAATTGTTTGAAAGTAAAGGACAAGATCTTAAAATTATATTATTATTAATCGTTTAGTGATGAAAAAGTAATATAATGATTTTATATTCTATTTTCATATAATTGACGCGCAATTTCATTTCCATTTTCAGAAGCGGTTACTTTGCAGAACAAAACCCCGCAAGTTAATCAAACAACACTGTTTACTAAAACATGGCGGCATTTCAACGCTGACATGAACGTGTTATATTTTGTTGATGGTAGGTACAAGCCAGTTGGTGATCGCCGGCACAATTTTCAGATATTTATAACATTAACTTTTTCTCAAACATCCATGTGTAAATTCGCCCTATTTTTGCTGATAGATATATGTAAACATGGGTGTTGACATGTAACGTGTTGGTTTGTTTATTTTTGTATGGAAATCATAATATAACGGTAAATTGTATAACTTATTATAAGTATTGTTTTTTTCATTAAGTTATGAATGAAAAGTATAGGTAAATATATAAATTTAATTATTGTTATATGTTATTTATGTAAAATTGTTCTATTAAGAAAAATAAATAATAACATGCATGTTGAAGTGTGAATTCATGAATGAAACCACATGTCATATGGTGTGCTACAGTGACCAAAACATCATTTTATAACGAGTGTTTAATTTAGCTTTTGTGCCTGTGTTATAGTGATTTGTTTCAACTGTTTTGTGACATTATTTTGGATAATTTGTGATATTTAATATTTATATTACTGTGTAATTGTGAAATTAAAACATTCAACATGGCTTATCGGAGAAATAGGCCTGGTCAGCACAATAGAAAGTTCAACAAATATTGTTTGAGATACTCTCGTGCTGGTCAGCAATTAGTATCATTTGCTTATTTTAAAATATTTTTAAAATACACATTTGCTTGTATGTGCCTATAATATAATAGACTAGTAATATGAATATGACTGTGTATTGTCAGGGTACAGACAATAACATACGTTTCAACATACAGAGGAGCAATACGCAAACTGCTTTGCGATACACCAATGAACGATTAAATAGTTAAAATGTTTCATGTCAAAGTAACATCTTACATAAGAATTTACTGTATCATCCAGCCATTCAAATATATATACAGTAAATTATAGCGAATTTATTAGTGATTTTTAAATTGCGAAAAAATATAGCCCCCTTTTTTCCCATTATTTTTTAAAAAGCTATTTAGACAATTTTTTTATTTTTTTTCAGGTCAAATTTTTTTGGTTTTAAAAATTTAAACTATAAATTTACAACAAAATGAATTTCTTTTATTTTCACTTTGATTGAGAATTTAATTTTTTTGCCCAAAAGGTTTTGTCAATTTTATAATGTTTAAAAAACCCTTTCAAAATTTTATTTTAAATTAGTAAAAATCTTAATTTTGTTTTAATGGAGGGGTTTTAAAAAAGGAAGAAAACTTTTAAGATTTTTGTGTATTCCTTTCCCCGGGTTGCTTTTCAACCAAAAATTAAACGGGTTTAGTTTTTCCCTTTTCGTATTTTTTTTTTAAACTTCTTTGTATACTTCAAAGGGGGCCCCAAATATTTTAAATTTTAACAGCAAACTTTTTAAAATGAAAATAAGATTAATGAATGAAAGAAAAACATGAAACAGGTTACGTTATAGATCTTATAATTAGGGCTAGTCACGGGTTGAAATTTTGTCATGAAATTCAGATCGATTCATGAGTCGAAGTCCCGATGTGTCGAAGTTTTTACGCAAGTCCCTCCAACTTCGACTTACCAAAGTTCTACTGTATATATATATATAGCAGAACTTATGTAGAAGTGAAACTTTGATATTAGCCAAAAATAAAAAATATGTCTGGTTCAGGGAACCCGACATACCCTATTTTTTACCACCTACCCTAAACTATTTTTTTTATATTTTCAATACATAATTTTTTGGTTACAAAAAGTTTATAAACTTCAATATTTGGGAATATGAAGAAGCAATGAATTTTGCTGTTCATTGTTTCAAATATTTGATATGAGTTAATTAATAAACTTTTAAGTACATGAATTGTTTTAGTCAACTTAAATAATGTTTGGCCAATCTCAAAAAAAATTATAAGTATTATACGATGTGAAGTGTGAGATGTCAACGGCCATCCAAGGGGCAACATTTTGGAAGGTAAAGTAACATGTTTTAGGGCATTTGTTTGATAAAAGTGATTCATTTACGAGAGCTGCTTCAAGTGAAAAGATGCTAAACTGTTTGCTAGTGTCATTCTTAACTTGTTGACAGTGATCATTTTAATATATTTCTTTAACAATACCATTCATTGACACTGCTGGTGGAACTTACAAAATGGTGTTGGCATTGATTGTTTACAATCTCTGTTTAAGCAAGCAACACATCTCAAAATGGAAAATAAGACTATTAAAAAAAAACAAAAAACAAAACAAATCCCTACCCTCCTAAATGTTTCCTGAACCAGACATATTTTTTTATTTGGCCTAATATTTCTTTAAAAGTTAAAGGGACTCCACTGAGGTTTTTTTTTTATATTACGGGACTGAAAATATTTTTTACAGATAAATGCACAAATTGATTTAGGTTTACACCACTAATCTTTGGGCCAAATTTCAGATTATTCTAGCACTTCCAAAATTATTATTCAAATAGTAAACAAATGACCCAAATTAAAAAGCGTTTAAACGTTTTTCAGTAAAATCGGAATGATAATAGCATAAAAACACAATTCTCAATTTATTTCAAAGTATATTTCTTAAATATCTTTGCATATATTTCTTGTTAAAGTGACCCAGCTCATTTATGTAAGAAGTAGAAGTCATTGTGACAAGACACCAATGAAAATACATAAAATTTTGTTCAATTTATTGAAAAATATAATTTTTAAAATGAAAATGTATAAAATGAAAATTAAACATTTTATTTTATCAGTATTTATTACAATTCCATTATAAGTATATAATAAAATAAAATATCATTCAATCAAATCTAAAACCTGTTATGAGGAAGTTAAATGAAAAAATATTGAATAAAATTATGGCAAATGATACTTATTGCTGATACAATTTTATATAAATGTAGAAAAGTTGAAAAAGTGGAAGAAACAGAAACTAATTGAGAAAAGACTAGACACATTGAAGAACTTAAATTGTGAATCATTTTCAGTTGTGAAAAAGAGTAATAGTTTGAAAATATCTGTATGCCAAATAGCATCAAAAATTAGTCAAAAGTATAGACTGATAAATGACAAGGAAAGTCATAAGATGTATTTACATTCAGTGAAACCAAACTTTGAAGGAAATAGAATAGTTAACATTAAAAAATTTCAGCAGCATGTCATGGATATCACAACACACACAGCATTGTGTGATTCTGCTAGGGCTAAGGCAGCTAAGGGAGAAAATGTTGTTTCTTTACATTCTGAGAAACAGCACGGATTTTATTTCATTCTGACTATCATTTGCTGTGGATGTGGTGAAAAATTTAATATTGATAATAGTGATAAAATAGGAAATGAAAACATACAGGAAATTAATTTGAGATGTGTTTGGGGAAATATGGTGACTGGTGGTGGGTGCTCATCCTTGAATGAGTCAATGGGAACAATGGGCATTCCAGGCATTAATGAGAGGACTTACTCTAAAATTGAGGGTCAAATTGGAAAATTATGGAATGATGTTCTTCAGGATGAAATGAAACAAGCTGGAGAGGAAGAGAAGAGAATTGCCATTGAAAATGATGAATATTTTCAGGGTGTACCAGCAATAGCTGTTGTCTGTGATGGTGGCTGGTCGAAAAGAAGTCATAAGCATACGTATAATGCAATGGGTGGTGTAGGTGTAATCTTTGGATTGAAGACCAAAAAATTGCTTCATATTGGAATACGAAATAAACTATGTTATATTTGTAGTCGGGCAGCAACTAAAAACCAGGAACCCGTAAAACATGAATGTTTCAAAAATTGGGAACAATCGTCACAATCGATGGAAAGTGACATAATATTGGAAGGTTTCAGAGAATGTGAAAAGAAGTACGGTTTAAGATATATGCAGATGATTGCAGATGGTGACAGCTCTGTATATGCTACGATTATCAAAAATATTCCAATTTGGGGTCCGCATGTTCAAAAAATAGAATGTGCCAATCATGCCACAAAATGTTTACGCTCAAACTTAGAGAAGCTTGTATCGGAAAAAACTCATTATAAGGGCAAAGGTAGACTCACCAAAAACAACATAAGAAGGATAACAGCCGGGGTACGATGCGCTATAATTATGCGAAGCAAAGAAGAAAACAAAAATGAAGCAATTAAGAAATTGAGGCAAGACATAAGAAATGCTGGAAGACATGTTTTAGGTCATCACGATATGTGTTCAACTGATTTTTGTAAACATAAAAAAGATGATTTACCACCTGTTCTCCAAAATGATGATTTTGAAGAACTCCAAAATGACTCTGGAGATGTAATTATTTGCCAAAGTGATTATTGGAGAGACAGCATGCAGAACCTTACAAAAGAAGAAACAGAAAGTTTAAGAAAAGGAGGTTGTTTCCCAACAAAAATTGATTCCATCACACATTCTCTTTTAAAAGATGTGTATATATTTTTGAATCGTTTAGCAGAAAAAAGTAACAGATTAATCTGTAATTTCACAAGCAATTTAGCAGAAGCATGGATGAATGTGCGATGTAAATTTGATGGAGGAAAAATGTACAATAAGTGTTTTAAAGGGTCATTTTATGCAAGATGCTATGGAGCTGCATTAAGATCAATACTTGGGCCAGCTTGGTCACCCATAGCTTTTCAACAAATTTTTGAAAAAAGACCCGACAAAATATTCATTAACACATATAAATATAGAGTCAACAAACGTTTAAATGCTATTAAATCCTCAAAAAAGAAAGAAAACATCTTAAGAAGAAAAAGAAAGAGGGAAGAATCCTCAATTTTGAGAAAGAAAGGAAAAGCTGATTATGGAGAAGAGGTGTTAATAGACACAGATGATATTAGTAAAGAAAATTTAGAATTGGAATGTGAAAATTATTTTAAGACAGAGATTATGAATGTGAAAATAGATGAAATAGAAAAAAAAACTCGGGGACAATCATCTAATGATTTATGGCATGATGAAAGGAAGAAAAGATTAACCAGCTCAATATTTGGAGATGTAATGAGTAGATCACTAAATAATAATTCTTCTAACATCATAAAACGGCTGTTATATTCCAAATTTAAAGGAAACATTTATACAATCCGAGGGCAGAACGAGGAAGAAAATGCAAGGATTGAGTACAAGAACATAAAAAATAAAAGTGTCAACACTGTAAAAACTATACAGATTCCTGGACTTGTAGTAGATAAAGAAAGGCCTTACTTAGCTTCATCAAGTGATGGAATTGTTATATGTGAAGAAGGACCAAATGGGCTAATAGAGATAAAAACACTCCTTAACAACAGTAAGAAATTAATACATGAAGCTGCTGAAAGTGATAAAAACTTCTGCTTGAAAATGGAAAATGGAAAAATATGTTTAAAAAGAAATCATAAATATTTCTACCAAATTCAGGGACAACTTAATATTTTAGATTATGATTGGTGTGACTTAGTAGTGAGAAGGATAAACCCTAATGATATATTTATTGAAAGAATATTTAAAGACAAAGATTTATGGGAAAGAAAAATGGTTCCAAAATTAAAAGATTTTTACTTTTCTCATATGCTACCAGAATTAGCTGTTCCTAGACATGGAACTGTTTCCGGGATTAGAAAACCTTCTTTACCATGGGTAAGTTGTTAGAAAAGGTTGAAAAAATTCACACAAGTCAACAAGCACGTTTAACAATTGTTTTCATTACTGTATAAAATTACAATTTATATTAATTTATTGAAGAAATCAATAAATTATTATTCAAAGGGTTTATTATTGATTTTGTCAAATACCCTGCACCAGGTTTGTACATTTGTTACAAAACTTATGCAGCTACATATGATAGATGGTTATTCTTTTTAATATTAGGTATTATATTTAATATACATTATCTTAATGAGTTTGTTTACATCAATTTGGCAAAACCATTTAAAATATATTTTATCATATTATTACAGCATCAAGAAGATATTTTGTTGAAGAAAAGGCCTACCATTAAAGCAGTTCAACCCGACAAATGTTCAGTTGCAAATGAACCATCAACATCATCCAGTGATATACCTCCATCTTGTTCCCAGAGTAAAAGGTAAATAAATAATTATTTCACTATGGTATTAACTTTAAATTGGTTGGAAAACACTTTTTGTTGATTGGCAGTTTTGAAAATTTATTTATGAAATGGATTGCTTTTTTGACTACTGGAAACAAGAGCACCTCTAGGTAGAGGATTATATGGCCCAATTTTTTTTTTAGTTTATGATGAAGCATTTGTAAGGCATGGGAATTGAATAAAGTATTACCTCCTTCAAAAAGCAATCCTTCTTTATAGATGAAGAAGTTTCATATATATACAGTTGCTGTTTCCAAAGCACCATAATTAATTTTTTTATCTTGTAAGTAAAAGTGCTATGACTGATGAACAGAAAGATGCCAGGGGTATTACATAATTTATGCCAATTCTTAAGGGCATAAAATGAATGTACTCAATATAAGTGATCATCCTATGAAGTTTGATAGTTGTAAAACTTTTAACAATATTTAGGTATTTTGATATTGACCTTTCACATGGTGAACCCAATATATTTATGGATCTTTTATTCAATGGCAATCATTCTGTGAAGTTTGAACAATGTGGGCCAAATGGAACTTAAGTTATGCTCAAGAAAGCACAATTTTCAATGTAAAGGTCATTTTGACACAGACCTTTGACCTTTTGACCCTGAAATCAATAGCAGTGAATAGGGGTCATGTATTGGACATGGCTGTTCATCTTTCATATAAAATTTTACAGCTGTAGGTTGATTAATACTGCATTTATTCCGGTGAACCTGTCTTCAGTTTCAAGGTAATTGTGACATTGACCTTGTGACCCCAAAATCAAAAGGGGTCTTATACCCTAAAATGGACAATCATCCTATGAACTTTGAATACTGTGGGTGAAATGGAAGTTACGTTATGCTCCGGAAACCAAATTGCATAAGGAGTGATGGATGGACGGATGCCATGGGGTGTAATATGATATGCCCTGAAATTATTTTGTGCATATAGAAATAAATGCAATATATAGAGGATATTTGTTTGTTTTGCATGTAAGATTGAAATATAATTTCACTGAGTGAACACCAGATGCAATATTTTTACGAGTGGCGTAGCCACGAGTGAAAATATAATAGCTGGTGTTCACGAATGAAATATATTTCAATCTTATATGTAAAACAAATAAATTTTGTTTTTATTTCCTGCGTTTTAAGTGATTTTAAGTAATTTTTACTGATTTTGCTGCGTAACGTCGCGCATTCTTCTTCGTGACGTCATCACATCATGACATCACATCAACAAGTTTGAAATATAGTTCTGTTAAATTTCTCTAATTTTGTTTTATTTTTACATAATGTATGGTGACATTGACTTTCTTTCCGAAAGAAGCAAAATTTACGCATGACGGCATTTATTTTTGCCTGTTATTCCATTCAGTTTTGATTTTTTTTTCATCCGCATTCAGATATAATCCGGCTACAGTGAAAATTATATTTTATAAATTTCACTATTGGTTTATCAGAATATAATCATCTGATATGTATTAGTTTTTATTTATAGTATATGACGTTGCACTTAAGTCAATTTATATTCAAAACCTGGAACAAAACAGATTTTAAATATATCAGTGCTTTATTTGCAATATTATAAGTATTTCTCCTTGAAATAATATGACATCAAAATGAATTGACAGGATCAGGAAACAGAAATTTGTTGGAAGGAGAATAAATCATCAGTGGAAGTTAGATGACGGCTCATTAAAGTGGTATACTGGATCAGTACTTTCAGTAACCAAAGGGAAAGACGGTAACCCACATGCTGTGTATCAACTTTTATATGATGGTGAAGATGAATCTTATGATGTTGAGGATTTACAAACTGATTTCCTTGATGGATCATTGAAATTTATTGATATATAAATTAAAGGTAAAATTTTTCAAATAATTAAACAAATAGAGACATTAATCAAAAACAATATATATCAATGATAATTTGAAAGACTGCCAAATTTTTAAGTGCTTTTCTGTAACCACTGTAAGTGTTAGCGTTGCCAGCATGTCTGGGTTTTTCATTGTCAGAAAGCTTTACAGGTATATTACTTAGCATTGGTGTTTCTACTCAGGTGCCTGTTTGTGCCGGAATTAATTACAGAGGGGCATTTGAGGCCTTCCTCCACCAATAAAGGTACAAATTTGCGATGTCACCTTCACTGGTTTTTGTGCTACTGATTTATATATAAAGTTCTGGTACAAATATAATACATACACTACACATTTGATGGTTTATTTTTGAATATAAACAAAAATTAATATGTATATCAATTGAATTATTTTTAATACTACATTCATATTCTTATGAATAGTTACATACCAGTCAAGGAAAGAATTAATTTCTTGTGTATACACTTTATCTTATTTATTTTTAGAAACAGTAAAACAACCACCCTTAAAAAATAATTATTTTATAATTACTTGCAGCACTATGTAAATGTTTGTTATGTGTGGTGGCCCGTGGCCAGTAAAATTAGTTCGGAGCATTGTAAATTTTAATGAAATTTACTTACATATACAGTAGAATAAATTCAAAAGTGGAATTTGTGCCAGTAAATTTAAAATATTATTTTCATTGAATGCTTGCAGGGTAAAATGAAAATTAAAACCTCATCTTATACCATGTTAAGGCAACAACAGCTTTATATTGATGATTTTGTATGTTTTAAATATTTACAAGGACAAAAAATAAGTTTAATTACATTTAAATAATGGTTTTCCAGCATCTTACATACTTATAACATGGAGAAAGTAGCACTGAATATGAAATAATTTGTGATAATGTTATGGAAATTTAAGAAAAGATTATTTTTATTCAATAAAAAGACTAATTAAATAATTGCATTAGTTTAAAAAAAATACATTAGCATAAGATGTCCAATTAATTGACCAATGACTGACTTTAAAAATATACAAAGACATCAAAATTAAAAGAAAAACATTCCAGAAGATAAATAAAAGCATTTCTGGGCAATGATAGACCTTTCTTTATGAATTTTGAAGAAATTGAAAAAAGGAAATTGTAATAATTTTGTTCTCAGTTCATCACATATTTATTAATTATTGATTTCTGGGCTAAAAATCCCTTATATTTGCATGGTTAAAACAGTAAAGCAAAACTCAGTTCACATATATACACAATGGTACTTTCTAATGTAAACTGCTTTGGAAATGTAAAATTAACCTTCATAATTCCTATATGTTATCAGTAAATTTAGATGGTCTGTCCTGTACACCATACATACATAATTGATGTTTATATAGCTTGCACTACTTTCTTTACACACAATATGGAGGATAGGAATTTTCAAGGACATGAAAAAGTGTTTATTTTGGATTAATTTTTTGCAGGTTTATTCTCATTGTTTCAAGAAGATAGTTTTTGTATGCACTAATAAAGACTTTAATCTGGATATTGCCATTCATGAATTGTGAATAAAACCCTATACAAGATTGAATTTGGTCTTCAGAAATTGAACACTTTACAGGTAAATATTTTTATTGTTATATTTCTTAAATTTATGAATTTTATTCATAAATGCATTCTCTTTAAAGTTTTATTGCAAATGGTTCATCTTTTGACATTATGACAAGTGTCTTTATAAAAGTTTAATCTTATTTCAATTTGCACCCACATAGTGAAAATCCAACATGGCTGACAATGCGGAATCACCTTAATGATAAAATATTTATTATAATTTCCTTAAAAAAAGATCAATAAAACTCACTGAACAAAAGACTTTGTGTTAACAAAAATTCTATAATGAAACTATTTATTGCATTGTGTCAATGGATTAGTGATGGTTTTGTATTTTCATCATAATTCATTAGCATAGCTACCTTCCATACATCCTTCTAAGTTCTGAAGAAAATACAAAGGAAATCTAACCCAAATGTTTACTGCAAGTCTCCTCAGACATGCCATTGCATTAATAAAATATTTATTAAGACTTTATTAGAAAAATATTAAAGGATCCTCATCATACAAAGTTAACAATTTGATTAAAGCAATGGTACTATTTTTATGAAACTACTGCATTGTACATAGCAATATTTTTGCTTTTATTTCTCTTTCAAAGAACCAAATATTAAAAAATATCCATTCTGTATGTATTTATGTATATATGTTTAGACAAAAGTAATTAACAACATAAACTACATGTAATTGTACTTATTTATTTATTATTTGCCAACTGGTTTCATTACATCTTTAGGGAATTGATATAATGATGGCAATGATGTTTATATATATAATTTTATATATATATATTTTTTTATTTTTCTTTACAGATCTCACAGAACACAAACTGAGCAATGTAGCAGTACTTCAGAACCTTCAACTTCCTGCTCTCACATGACTCGTAAACAAGACAACCTACTAAACAACTATTTTGAAGATCAAAGGCAAAAGTCTGTGCAAAAGGAAAATAAAAAAAGTGAAAAAGTGAAAAGTGAAAGGTTTCTTACTGGGATGAAAAGGAAATGCCATACAAAGGGATCTCCTATTACTCCTGACAACTCTGAAAATACAAATTGGCTAGATGTTGACAATAGTGTACAAGCTAAAAGAATAAAGCATATAGTTTCAGACAATAAAATTGTTGTCAAAGATAAAAAAAATACAGATAAATGCTTCGAGCAAAATGTGCTTACAAATGTGAATGAGGTTAAGCAAAATAAAGAAAGTGAAATAAGGAAAGAGGCCACTTACAGAGAAAGACATAAAGATGAGACTCAAGTTAAACTTAGAAAAAGGACACTTAAAGCCAACCTCAGAAAGAGACTGCGAGAAGAAAATGAGATACAATATAAGCTTAAGCAAAGAATGCTAAAAGCCGACTTTAGAATGAGACAGAGAGAAGAAAATGACACTCGGGTTAAGCTGAAAGAGAGAGCACATAAAGCTAACTCCAGAATGAGACAGAGAGAAGAAAATGACACTTTGGTTAAGCTGAAAGAGAGAACACTTAAAGCCAACTTTAGAATGAGACAGAGAGAAGAAAATGACACTCAGGTTAAGCTGAAAGAGAGAGCACATAAAGCCAACTCCAGAATGAGACAGAGAGAAGAAAATGACACTTGGGTTAAGCTGAAAGAGAGAGCACATAAAGCCAACTCCAGAATGAGACAGACAGAAGAAAATGACACTCGGGTTAAGCTGAAAAGAGAGAGCACATAAAGCCAACTCCAGAATGAGACAGAGAGAAGAAAATGACACTCGGGTTAAGCTGAAAGAGAGAGCACATAAAGCCAACTCCAGAATGAGACAGAGAGAAGAAAATGACACTCTGGTTAAGCTGAAAGAGAGAACACATAAAGCTAAGACCAGAATGAGAAAGACAGAAGAAAATGACACTTTGGTTAAGCTAAAAGAGAGAACAGTTAAAGCCAACTTTAGAATGAGACAGAGAGAAGAAAATGACACTCGGGTTAAGCTGAAAGAGAGAACACATAAAGCTAACTCCAGAATGAGACAGAAACAAGGCAACAAGGAAGTCACATCAGGACAGAGACTGTACGAAAATGAACGACAACAGAAATACAGAAAGCAGAGTTCAAAAAGCATTGCATCAACTATTCAAGCTTTCAGGAGTAAAATTAAAGAAGGTCCCACATACATTTGCTGTTCGTGTCAACTCCTGCTTTATAGACATAATGTGAAAAAGTTTGTGAGTGATATTTACAGTGCAGCACTTATTGCAGATTGCACTAATAACATAAAAAGTTTTGATCACATGAGATATATTTGTAACAGCTGCCATAACAGCCTTTGTAAAGGTCACATACCTCCTTTATCAGTTGGAAATTTGTTACAACTTACAGAAATTCCAGATGTCTTGAAGAACCTTTCAAGTTTAGAAGTGACACTGATAAGCAAGCGTATTCCATTTATGAAAATATTAGGTTTACCTAGAGGCAAGCAAAAGGCAGTTCACGGTTGTGTTGTGAATGTTCCTGTTGACCCAGATGAAACCTGTGGTATTTTGCCTCGTCTACCTTCATCAGCAACTCTGACAGTTAAGCTGAAGAGAAAACTTCAGTATCGTGGCCACACTATTAAACAAGTCATACGGCCTTGGAAAGGATTTACTGCATTGTATTACCTGAAAATGAACAACAATCACTAATAAATAATAAGTGGCAAGAAGATGCCAGTATTGAAAATCCTAACCTGTGGGAATCACTTACAAACTATCATGGTAGTGACAATGATGAATCAGTGATGCCAGATGCTGTTGTTTGTGAAAGAGACAATGAAAAATTTGATAGCGAAAAGTCAAGTGATCAGACGAATATCATTGAAAAACATAGGAATATTTCTGATCAGACACAAACTGTAAAAAGACATGGTGATGGGAATAAAAGATATCATGTGATACAAGGTAGTGATAAAAACACTTCAGAAGAAAATAGACATGAGCAGACTAGTTTACCAAATATGCATACTTCTGATGAGGCTCAAAGTGACAGTGACCTTGATACTGATGAAGAAGAACAGCAACAGGATGTGAGAACCAAACTAGCAGGCCTTCCATATGACTCATGTTTACAACCAAAGGATCTTAGTGCTGACTCGGACTTTATTCTGTCATTGGCTCCAGGAGAAGGGAAAAAACCTGAAAGTTTTCATTCAGATCAATTCAGTGAAGACCTATCATTCCCAAATCTGTTTCCAGATGGATGTTTTGGTTTCTCTTGCAAGAGACCGAAAAAAATAACAATGAAACAGTACTTTAAAAGCAGAATTTTAAACCATGATACAAGATTTTCTTCATCCATTGAATACTTGTTTTACGCCCAATATAGATGTGAAGCCAAAGATATATCTGATTGCCTCAGTATTGCATTAAGAAAGTGCAAAGGAGAAGTACAAACAAATAGAGTTACAACTGGTCAAATCAATGAAGCAGAAAATATGAGACAGCTCACTCGAAATGATCTAAGTTACCATTTCTTGCAAAAAGTCAGAGGATCTCCAGCATATTATAACAAGATGCTTTACGATTTGTTTGGCATGATCAGACAACTTGGTGCCTGTACATGGTTCCTCACTTTGTCTGCAGCAGACATGAGGTGGACAGACACTATCCAAATAATAGGAAAACAGCATGGTGAAAAATTCACAGATGATGATGTCAACAATATGACGTGGGAGCAGAAAAGCTTCTGGCTAAGGACAAATCCAGTGAGTGCAGCTCGGCATTTTGACCACAGGTTACAGCTATTTGTGAATGATGTGTTGTGTGGTGAAGCACATCCTGTTGGAAAAATAGTAGACTTTAAGTACAGGATTGAGTTCCAACAACGCGGATCACCCCATGCCCATATCGTCATCTGGGTTAAAGAAGCACCAACTATAACAGAACATACAACAGTGCAAGTGAAAGAATTTGTAGATATATATGTTACCTGTGCTCTACCTGAAGACCAAGACGATCTACGTTCAACTTTGAAAACTGTACAGATGCACACACATTCTATTTCATGCCAGAAATCAGGAAAACAATGTAGATTTGGTTTCCCTCTTCCAGCTATGGAAAGCACAACTGATTTTCTCCCATTTGTAAGCTTACCTCCTAAAAGTTTAACATTCTGCATGAAGTTCAAACAAAAGTAAATGACGTTCTGTTGAACCCCAGCTTACACTTAAGTGACATTCTTGAACAATTGAAAATAAATATGGACACATACTTACAAGCTATACGTTGGCTAAAAACAAAGAATGGGCAGCCAGCTGTACTTCTACGAAGAAAACCAGCGGAAAACAGGATAAACTTCTACAATGCCAATCTCCTGTCAGCATGGGAAGCAAATATGGATATACAGTTTGTGACAAATGTGTTTGCTTGCATAATGTATGTAGCATCATATGTGAGCAAGCCTGAAAAACACTTGGAGATCTTTTGAAGTCAGTAAGTAAAACATGTGAGCCACTTGGTGCTAAGTCCAAAATGCAAAAGGTTGCTAAAAAATTTCTTTCACATAGGGAGGTGAGTGCACAAGAAGCAGTGTATAGGTTATTGTCTCTTCCATTATCAAAAAGCTCACGACAAGTAACGTTTGTACCATCAAATTTGCCTGAGAATCGAACTTACTTGTTGAAACCACTGAAAGTCATCCAGACCATGGAAGATGATGATGATGATCTTGTGCAGAAAGGCATAATTGATCGCTATATCATAAGACCAGCCAGTGTCGAAAACATGTGTTTTGCAGACTTCTGTTCCCACTATATATATGAAAACAAGAAAGAATCTATTGAACAGACCGAAATTGACATTGACATAGACATAAATGTACCAGAGGCATCAGAACGAAACCTTCCAAAAACCATTCATCTACAAGACAATGGAGGAACATTAACACTGAGAAAAAGACCTTTGATCATTCGTACACACAAGTTTTCCAAAATCAAAACACCAGAGGAATACTACCATTCAAAACTCATGTTGTACTACCCTTGGCGACATGAAGAAACTGACCTCAAGGGAAAAGACGGCATGTACAAGACCAAGTATATGGACGTTTTTGATGATATTGAACAAAAAGTACTACTTTATGAACCAAATTCTGATGCTGTTGAAGATGCAGCTCAAGAGTTGCAAGAAAATGGTGAACCAGAGGATGCATGGGCAACATTAGCATCTACAGTTGAACAACAACAGGAAGAAGATAGACAAGAAGGCACTTCACTGCACCAAGACTACATCCACCTTGATGGAGGACACACTGTAAATCCTCAAGATGTTGGTTTGCAAAGATATGAATATGAGGTCAATAACAACCAAGTAAGTCAGGAGATGTGGTTAGAAATGACATGCATGTTGAATGACGATCAAAAGAAAGTGCACCAATTCATTGTACAGTGGTGTATAGAAATGTCATTGACTTACAAAACAAGACGAAGACCTAAACCATTCCATCTGTTCCTGTCTGGTGGAGCTGGAGTAGGAAAAAGCCATCTAGTACGAACGATTGTGCAAACTGCAAACAGAGTACTATCCATCTCCAAAACAGATGAAGAAACAACTGTATTAGTTGCTGCCTTTACTGGTGTTGCAGCTTTCAACATAGGTGGACAAACATTACATTCCACTTTTCAGATACCTGTTTTTGAGAGAAGACATGCAGGCTACATACCACTAACAAGTAAACAATAAGCACGTATGAAGAGTTTACTTGGAAATTTTTGCATACTCATTATTGATGAAATTTCTTTTGTTTCCTCAGATTTTCTGTTGGCCATTCATAGGAGATTGGTAGACATCAAGATGTGTGATGAACCATTTGGTGGGGTGTCAGTGCTGGCAGTAGGAGATTTGTACCAGTTACCACCAGTGGCTCGATGCCCTATATTCAAGCAATACAGTAACGACCCACTGGCAAACCTTTATGGTTCTCTATGGTGTAAACACTTTCAATTGATTCAGTTAGAGGAGATTATGAGACAGAAAGATGATGTCCAATTCGCTGCAGCACTTAACAGAATTCGCATTAATAAACCAACAGAAAGTGACATATTGCTGATAAAATCTAGGCAAATTGAAGAATCATCCCCACAGTATCCAAAATATGCATTGCATATTTTTCCAACAAATAAAGATGTTGACAGCCACAATAGCCAAACCTTGAAAACCTTACAGACAACTATTTTAACATTAAAATCAAAAGATACAAAGAAAGACAAAGAAACTGAACAGTTAAAAGAAATAGAGTTAGGGCCAAAAGAGGGCCAACTGCTGAGCGAACTGAAAGTTGCTGAAGGAGCGCGGGTGTCGCTGACAGTCAACATAGATCAAACAGATGGACTAGTGAATTCCGCTTCAGGCACTGTGACTGGTTTCTATCCAGTGATCAATGTTAATAATAATGATTACAAACCAAATTATATTCTGGTAAAGTTTGATGATCAAAGATGTGGTCAAAACACACGAACCAAGTTGAAAAATATCTTTGGAAACACAGACTCTACACCAATTAAACAGACAACTGTTGATATCAGAAAAAAACAAGTCACAGTTCACAGAACACAATTTCCGCTGACTTTAGCTTGGGCTTCTACGATTCACAAAGCACAAGGGAAAACACTTGATCAACTTGTCGTCTGTAATGTTGGGACTTACAGGACTGGCCAAATGTATACAGCTCTTAGTAGGGTTAAGACTCTTGAAGGCCTATATTTATTTAAAGAATTCCGTAGAGAAAACATCAAAGTTAATACAGATGTTGTAAAAGAAATGCAGCGATTGTCATCAACAAAACTGTTCAAAGTACCTAAGTTACAAGTTCCAACACTTCCTGATATATACTTAAACCTGAGTCTGTTGAACATCAACTCATTAAAGCCACACTTTCAGTGTCTTAATTGTGATGAAAATATTCAAACTTCGGACATAATCTTTCTTACTGAAACATGGTTACAAGCAAACCATTGTGATGAAACATATGAACTTGGACCCAATTACCAAATTTATAGAAAAGACAGAACACCTGTGAGATCAAACTTGAATCCTCATGGTGGTGTTGCTATACAAGTTGAGCACAAGTTCCATGTTAGATGTCAGTTCCCGATAGACACCTCTGTCTTTGACTGTCTAGCCATACTGTTAGAGCACAGGGCTACATTACACAGGATTATGATCGTCTGCGTGTATAATAGCCCACTTACCAGTCTGAAAACATTCCTACGCCATTTTGACAAAATTCTTTCATCTCTACATGTCCACAATGGTCCAACAATATTGGCTGGTGACTTCAATGTGAACAACAGTCAACAAAATGCCAACTACAGACAATTACAAAGACTGACAATGTACTATGGGTTTTCCCAGTATGTAACATCAGCAACACACAGAAATGGAAATACACTAGACTACATTTTTATTAATCGCCATGTGGAAGATGCAGTTGTGTGCGTCACTCCTGTGCATTATTCAGACCATTTCCACGTCCAGATGGCAATTCCCATGCAACAGTTATTCTAAGGGTTAAAAATCTTGAAGGCCTATATTTATTCAAAGAATTTCGTAGAGAAAACATCAAAATTAACAAAATTCTGGAAACAAAGTGATCCCTCGGAAGCATTAATCACAACAAAATTACATAAGAATTGCAGACTGGGTTTGATTGGTTCTGTACATGAGAGATAATGAATAAGTGCAACATCTCTCACGCCCCCTAGCACCGGCTTGAGCGGTACTCAATTCTCAACACTTAATAGTGCTGGCATCAATGATCCCGAAGGACCAGAAAATATAACAACACTGAAGTCCAGATGGCAATTCCCTTGCAACAGTTATTCTAGCAACTAGCAACAAATAATAAATATGTACAAACATTTTATTTTTCTTCTCTAGCCTTGAGATATTATGAAAAGTGTTTCCATCTCAGTACAAATTTTTTGTTATTGTCAATAATTACTATAATTTTTAATACATGGTCATCTTATTCATGATAATTTATTCAGTTCATAATTTAACACAATATCTATACTGTTAAAGAACTAACCTAAATATTTCAGTCACATATGGACATTTATTTTCACACTGCATTATAACTTACCACTAATAAATATTTCATAGAAATTTACATTTACTTTAATAGCTCTGAAACCAGACACTTGAAACTATATAATATATATAAAGGGTCACAAGTAAGCTCAGTATGCAAAGTTTTTCCACTCTTAATTACATTTAGACATTATTATGCTATTTTCTTAACTTCACTGCTTTTGTTTGTTTTAGTACACTGGGAAAATGAAAGGTTATTTGTAACTGTTTCAAACATGATTTGACAATATATATTTATACCATTACCTGTACAATTTGTCTTTTTTTCACCAGAGATAATTTCTTTATATGTATATTTATTTAATTTTACCCATGAAATATGGTGCTATATCAGTCAAATATATTTCATATTTTTTAAATATGAAATATAAATATGAAAATGGGCAGAGTCAAAACTCATATTTATTATAAGGGACTTCTTTCTCCATTTTATTTAAAAAATCTGATAAATACAAAACAACTTTGTTGAATTTTGTTTTTAAAACTATCTATATGATAGAAAATGGTCTAACTAAGAAAATGAATCCAAACACCAATACCTTAAATCCAGTTATTAACGCTGTACAGATGTTTAAAGAGTTGTTTATGTGACGTCACAATGTAGCGCTAAATATCGCGTGCAAAACAAGACAATAATTATATTATAATTGTACAATTGCAGTTGCGTAGCAAGCAAGGGGGGTTCGTTACCATTTTTCTTTAATAATGAAATTAAATAAAAAGATTATTTTTTTCGTTTTTCGTGAAATATGGTATATATTTTCACTCCACATGATAAAATGCCACATATTTTCACTTGCTGTCACGGCTCGTGAAAATATGTGGCATTTTATCATGTTTCGAAGTATTTGTGCCACTCAACTTATTCCCTTAACCACCTTTCCAAGTCGTCTTTTGTCAAAGGACATTGGTGGGGGTATGAATCGCATTCAGCGATAGTTCTAGTTTTAACTGTTTAACGATAAGAGATCTGTTTCTTCTAGAGTTAAAATTATTTTAATAGGTTAAAAATACCCAATGTCAAAAATGAATATCAACCAACAAGCAACAAGGAGGTAAAATTCTGTATTATAAATCTGTGAGAAAAATAAGATAAGTTATAGTAAATAATAACGTTGTCATTATTTTAATAATTTAGATATTTACTTGTTTTCAAAGACAAGAATAAGATAATTTATTAGTTCCATTAAAAATGTTAATCTATAAAAGATGCTATGTTATTATCATGATTATAAGACGTACCACGTATCAGCAATGAATATTTGAATAACAGTAAGAAAATAACAGACACAAATGGCTTCACTATTCCCTAACTTGAGTTGGAGGAGAAATCACTTTAATATAAAATTTAACATAAATAAGAGCTCTGCTGTGTATTTTTGAATGAGATAAAAACAAATAAACAAATAACTCTACGATAAAATACCTACTGACTTGTTCTCCCTTTTCTGATTAGATGAAAAATATATATCTAAAAATATCTGTTTTCTTTAAAGGTTAATAATACATCTTTGTCATAAAGTATAAACATTTCTTTCTACATTTGCAGTAAAATGATATAATAATGATAACTGACCACCTGACTTCTTGAAGGACCACCTAACTTTCAAATCTTGTGGTCCGGCGTACCACCTGCTAAAAAAGTTAGTGTCGAGGCCTGACCGGTAACCAACTTGAGGGGCATCGTAATATAGACAACTGCACAAACAAAATTAATCAAAAAGGAAGACAAATAAAATGGTTTAAAAAAAATAAACTTCTGAGACCTAAATTTTCTTGGACAAAGAATAATATTTTAAGCCATGGTCAGATACCCAAGGTTTATTTACATGTTACATAACATACAGTAAATGTTCATGGTTCAGCTGTGGGCATCTGACGATGATTTTAAACGGTAGGGGTTACTTTTTGTCCTAAAATGGTAGAAGCAATAAATATACATTGATAATTTAAACCTGCATTGTTTATCATGTTTGTCCAGTTTGAAAACATAATTTTAGCTATCAGTTTGAAAACATAATTTTAGGTATCCCCATAATTATAAAGTGTGATAATTTTGTTGTTTCCTCATTTTGTCTATTTCTTGGCTCACAAACTTTTTCTTTTGCAAAAAATAAATGTTAATGTTATTTCTCTATGTGATGTAGATTATACTTTTAATTTTAACTAATTATTTTTGTTTTCAACTCCCAAAAATCTTTCTTGATTTATTGATCTTAAAACTTGATTGTGTCAACTATCAAAGTCTTATACAGCATAAAGGATGTTGACAAAGACTAACACCAGTCATTTTAATCTGCAAGATATCCCATTGTGTAGTCATGCTAGGGATAGTGCAGCTTTATACAGAGGGTGCTGCATTTCTTGAAGTGTGCTCTCCCTTGCTGTATCTTATCTCACATAGTAAGTTTATAAATAAGAAATAACCAAACACTTTATATGAGTAACTTTTTTTCTACCTAATGTATGCAATTAATATACTAGTATACACCTGACACAATTCCTTTTATAAATTATAAAATTCATTTCAAAGGCAGAGCCCTTCAATTTTTACACAGAGATTGATATTTCACCTTTACGTTGATCAAAGAGGGCAATTATTACGATATCGGACTTGTTACAATGCTAGTGTGTAACTTGAATTTAACTCTTCATTTGTGTAATAATAAATGTTCATTCACTAGTTGATATTCTAATATTAAAATCAACATTAACATTAACTGGCAGTTGTTTGTTGAGCTTAATAAACACTTTATCAATATACATGTACATTATCAATAATTAAGACTCTTTTAATTTCTTATATAGTTAATATAGTCATTAAACATCATCTGTTCTCCACATTTGAGTCTGTTTTTTCTGGTTTCGTATATTTACACTGTATCCATACACGATACATCTTGAGTTGTTTACCACGGTTTACTTGTAATCGTCTATCTACCAAGTTTTGTTTCTCTACAAGTCCAGCTTTTGTCATCATTTCCCTCATCTCATCTGTAAATATCATATAATATTCATGTGCTTAAATTAATCTACAGATTTTAAGTTACATAAATGTGCAACCCTACCTCCATCTTTTTGAAAGCTACAATCTCTTGAAAAGATAATAATGGGTTTAAAGCCTCCTGTTTTTGAAGAGGTAATTTCTTTCAAAATTGATACATTTGTTTCAAAGAAGTATCTTCATGTATATTTTTTTTAGCAAAAGACAATTAGGAACACTCCTTGTTCAGCAGACCCTTGAAGGTAAACAATATAAGAATTCCTGCTTTTTGGGGGCTGCTGTCCCCTCACCCATTTTTTTACATATTTATATAAAAACATAAGTAAGAATAACAGCATAGTAACAGAAATGCAGGGTACTGATTGCTAAACTACGTTACATTTTATCCAAAAGTTATAACACAAACCAGGGCATTTAACCCTATCACCAGAGGCGGATAAAAGGCCACAATCTAAATAGCCTCTTTTTCAAAATTTAATAAAAAAAAAATCCAAACAGCAATCAAAAAAGCAAACTATTTTGACTTCAGAGAGTGAAATTGTTTTGACTTTATTTCTAAAAGAAGTAAAAGGTTATAAGGTCATACAGATGTTTAAAACTTAAGAGTCATGTGTAAGGTAGATTTTAAATTTTAAAAAAAATCTCAAATTTCCCAAACTGCTGAATTTTTTCCCAATTTATACAAGGGGCAAATTTTTCCAAAATAGCTGGAAAAGGCCCAGCAAAGTAAGCCAAGAAGTCTATGAGTAATCCTACTAATCTTAGTCTTTGTATAAGCAACAACAGGTTCAATAACAACCATAACAAACCCTGCCAACGTGGCAATAATAACCTTTTCACTTCATGATAATATTTATTTCAACCAATCTTATGAATCTGGTGATTGTAATACAAGAAAGAAACTGGTCCAGTTCATATATTACCTTGAGTAAAGAAATACACCCGTGTACCATCGCCCCTCGCATAAAAATTGTCCGCTAAACATCTACCTATAATATACAATATTAAGCATACATGTAGTACTGAACAATGATGATAATAATAATGTAGAAGTTTAGCAAATCACATTTATTCTGAAACTGGAGATAGTGATATAGATGATTTTTTTCTTCTTTTTTTCTTTTCTTTTCTTTTTCGTCGAGTTTTATTTTGCACCAACACATAACATATCCCACCACATGGAACATTTTGTTTTCATCTTCATTTCACTGAGATTTTAAATAAAAAATGTACCATATAAGATTGGACATAAAAGAACATTTGACTCTAATTTTAATCATAGCAAGTTTAAACTCTTGAACTTTTAACAATAAAAGAGTAATTATTGTTATACTAAATTGATGTTCTACCTTTTAACAAATCACAAAATTTCAAAACAGAAAATGATTAATTATCTATGTTATTGAATATAATTGAAAGAAATATTTTTATTTCAACTCTTTATTTTGACATCCATGCAAAATGTTCAAGAAAGAACAAAAATATGTAAGTTTGTTTGTTTGTTTTATTTTACGCCTTTTGCCAACAGTATTTCAGTCATATAGGCGGGTAATTTCCTAACCAATGTTCCTAGAGAGTTACACCAGTACTAGACTACCTTCCTCCGTGCTAAACTACAAAAGCATCTCCTGGCGATCGAACCCACGCCAAAGAGGTAACTGGATTAGAAGTCATTGACTCTAACCCCTCGACCACAGAGGCGGTTACAAAAATATGTAGAAACATATTTATGAAAATATTCTGAAAAGGGCTTTAGCTAAAACAATAAAACAAAAACTTAAAATAAACAAGAATGTCGAACGACACATATACCCCCCTTTCTAGCCATTGACTCACATAATTGGTAATTTTATTAAAGAAACTTGCCAAAAATGGGTACATGGAAGTGTTCAATTATGGAAAAATCAACGGAAACCATTTTGACATTTAAGGCCCATGTGACATTGACCTTTGACCTAATGACCCCTAAATCAATAGAGGTCATCTAATACTTATGACCAATAACTAGGTGAAATATGAAGACTTTGTGATGAATACTTTTCAAGATAATCAGCGGAAACCCTTTTGACATTTAAGGCCCCTGTGACCTTGACCTTTGACCTAGTGACCCCAAAATCAATAGGGGTCATCTACTAGTGATGACCAATCACTATGTGAAATATGAAGACTTTGTGATGAATACTTTTCAAGATAATCAGCGGAAACCATTTTCACATTTTAAGGTCCCTGTGACCTTGACCTTTGACCTAGTGACCCCAAAATCAATAGGGGTCATCTACTAGTGATGACCAATCACTATGTGAAATATGAAAACTTTGTGATACATACTTTTCAAGATAATCAGCGGAAACCATTTTGACATTTAAGGTCCCTGTGACCTTGACCTTTGACCTAGTGACCCCAAAATCAATAGGGGTCATCTACTAGTTATGACTAATCACTATGTGAAATATGAAGACTTTGTGATGAATACTTTTCAAGATAATCAGCGGAAACCATTTTGACATTTAAAGCCCCTGTGACCTTGACCTTTGACCTAGTGACCCCAAAATCAATAGGGGTCATCTACTAGTTATGACCAATCACTGTGTGAAATATGAAGACTTTTGTGAAACATACTTTTCAAGATAATCAGCGGAAACCATTTTGACATTTAAGGTCCCTGTGACCTTGACCTTTGACCTAGTGACCCCAAAATCAATAGGGGTCATCTACTAGTGATGACCAATCACTGTGTGAAATATGAAGACTTTGTGATACATACTTTTTAAGATAATCAGCGGAAACCATTTTGACATTTAAGGTCCCTGTGACCTTGACCTTTGACCTAGTGACCCCTAAATCAATAGGGGTCATCTACTAGTTATGACCAATCACTGTGTGAAATATGAAGACTTTGTGATACATACTTTTTAAGATAATCAGCGGAAACCATTTTGACATTTAAGGTCCCTGTGACCTTGACCTTTGACCTAGTGACCCCAAAATCAATAGGGGTCATCTACTAGCTATGACCAATCACTGTGTAAAATATGAAGACTTTGTGATAAATACTTTTCAAGATAATCAGCGGAAACCATGTGGTCTACCGAGGGACAGACCGACAGACCGACGGACGGACCGACAGACAGACAGACAGACCGACATTAGCAAAACAATATACCCCCTCTTCTTCGAAGGGGGGCATAATAAAAACTTTACCTTTTTTAAACCTGAGTTGTGCCAGATCATATCTACCATAATCCCTGAACAAGATGGTGCCCCCTAGTCGAAGAAAACTTGCTAGTCTGTTAATTATTGCCTGAAATCTATATATCAGTTATTTTAATGTGTTGACTAAAATGTGCAGACATAACCATAACACCTGGGTTAAGGACATTGCAATATACATGTATATAGTAAAATCTTCAATACTGGCAAGCTGCAATGGAATGAATATATAAACTTTAAAGCAAAATTCTTGCAAAAGTTAAGGCAACTAGTAGTGGTAAACTGCTTGTCGGTCTGCCAAGGAACAATGCAGTGGCTGAGCTGTGCACTGGTAAATTCAATGTGAATACAGCCGTGATACCGAGGGTGAACTTCCAACACCAACACATCTACATGTCCCGATGCAACAATCCAAATGTTTATAACCCTTTACTTGATTAGTCTATGCCAACAAGATAGATCCAAGCCATTCTGCACATCTGTACAGTCTGACCAAACTCAATACTGGTCGTAGCTCAACTTTTGTAATCTGAATCCATTTATCACCTTTAATGATCATGCAGGGATAAATGGTGGCTGCAATTCTGATGCCAATCCTTCAGCCACAAGAAGAATGGAATGCTTATGATACATGTATATAAAGTTGACCAACTGGAGAAGCCATTTTTCCGACGGGTCTCCCATTTTGTTTCTAGAGACTCTCACTACATTCTGTGTACAGTCAAAACTGTCTTAAGCAGCCAGGCAAGGGATGCAGACATTTTGGCTAAGACAGGTGGCTGCTGAATGGAGGATCAAGTTTTTATCCAAATATATCATTTATTTCTTTATATAAAGGTATACTATGCTATCCTTATCAAGTTATGTGCCTGTAAATATATTAAATCTAATTAAATCATGAATAGTGAAATCTGATTCATTATCATAATCAGTTTTTAACCAACTATATAATAATAAATTAAAGGTGTACATACTTGTCAGGATTGTTGGCGGAGAGAATGAAGATCATGATGATAATGTCAAGGCTGCCCTCAGGGAAAGGTACAGGAGCAGATGGGTCAGATATATCACAGACAAACGCATGACAACGTCTCTTGTCATAGTCCTTGTTCTCCTGTAAAATATATTATACAATCTATGCAACAAACAATAACTGACATATTTAGAGGGTACATTATATTTTGTCTTCTCCTGAATTCCTTTTCAAACAAGCTTTTATCAGCATATGATACCAATTACTTTTCCTAAGATTACAAAAAAAGACATTTTTGCCAGGAAATATACAATTCCTTCAGTAACATTCAATTTCTTTTTAGGTCAAAATTTATACATAATAAGTATGTATAATATGTCATTCACTACACGGCATATTGGACATTTTTCTGCATATATCAACTTCTTATGGTACATTATAATAATTATTGAAACAAATTTCCATTTTCATACCAACATTGTAAATGCCATAAAATGGAGACATAAAATGGAATGCCTAAATAAGTAAAATAAAATATAAAAAAAAAAATCTGTTGCAGGCTTGGTTTGATTGAGCCTATTCATGGATGGTCCACGTAACCTAGTAGTGTCTTAAGCAGAACTCAACAATTAATACAAAATAATAAAAATTTAAATAAAGAAAAAATCTCTGAAAAACAAGTGTCAAGCTTTTCTGCTTGATGATAACATCACGTGATTGCATTACTTCTACCTTATGCGGGCACTTTATTGGGACAACCAACCTATCGCCTGATAGAACGCTTCCTCACATGAAATATTCCAAAGTTACTGGCAAAATTCCAACCCACAGTGGCCATGGTGGCCCATGGAAAGCCCAGTCATTTATCCTGGTATTATGTTGAAAACTTAAAAGTATGTCTATCATTACTAGATATTTACCTTCACAAGATCAATGGCTGTGGAGGAGTAGTCACAACAATAAACCATCAGGTCAGGGTCACTGAAGTACAAATAGTTCTGATAAAAAAATTTTAATATTGATTTGCAATGGTACATTACATAAACAAAATAAAGTGTCATTACAAATATCATATTTCACTCATTTTCATTCATTTTAGCAGCAACTCGTACCTTTCAAATTATGGAATTTCAGAATGTTGAATTTTTTGGGTTGTTTACTAGGCTTTACAGTCACGTCAAAGATGTACTGTCCTAGGATGATAACTTGAGCCTTTGTTTACATAACAAAGACCAATAACAATGCGAAAAATAGGTGAGGCAGATCAATGCTACAACCTATAAAAATTAAAATAAAACTACATAATCATATGACTTGTTAGCGCAGTAGGTAGAGCAACCGTGTCGGTAATGCGTTTTTGCCCGTACAGGCAGAAGTTCGACTACTGGTAAGACACTTCTTTTTTACCTCAGAACAGCCAATTGTTCAGAAAACAAGTTTGACCGTTTTTTTCATATACATACATGAATATGATATCGAATATTTTATTACACTGCGATCAAAAAATACAAAAAGAAAATAGAATGGAATTTAAAAAAAATAAATATATACTATAAAATATATATTATAAGAAGAAAACAAAAAGGAAAACGAAAAATAAATAAAGAATAATGATAAAAAACAGAGTAAGAAGAAAAAACTGTGGTTATAAAATGACACTAAGTTGGGTTCGAACCTATGAGTACAAAACACTAATAGTTACAATTACTCCGACCTACCGACAGAGCCATAATGGTAATACACAAACGATTCTGTAAGAATAATGCTATATAGTATATGTAAGTGTTTACTTTACGATATCGGATAATAATCCAGATAACCCCGTTTTTCGACTTTCCCATGTACCGTTAAGACCAAATTATCATCTTAGGACAGTAATGGAAGTAAATGTATGACAATTTATTTATAAATAATTAGGTTAACTGAAGTCAGAATGTTGAGAACATCATTCTGCACATGTTTGAATTTTTAGAGACTGAAAATTACAATAAACAAGAGCTGTCAGTAGGACAGCACGCTCGACTATTCTAAGTGCTTGATAGTAAAAGAGCCTTGATAATGTTAAATTTTTTAAGTTCACAAAATGGCTAATTTTTTTTTATAAATTCATGTTATAGGCCTTAGAGAGAGTCTAATTATACAGTATTGGCTTGACTATTCGGAAGGTAATGTCACAAGGGTGTTTTATTGAGTATAATACTAATTACCTATGAATACATAAATTTGACAGAAATGGTACAAAGGCTTGTTATTAAGATGTTTTATCAAGTAAATCACTGCTTTATTATTATGAATGCATAAAATTGTCCCAAAAAAGGCACAAACCCTTCAGAAGTTATTGAGATAACAGCTTACAAGCAAAACTTTACCATGAATTTCTAAGTTGAAAAAGGGGAGAAAAATCAGCCTAAATGCAAGATAGAATTATGGATCTTTGTCAGTGACCTACAATTATGACCCTAAATGCATATGTGAAGTTTTAAATAAATATCTTTAATAGTTATTGAGATATGTAAAACTTGCATGTAAACATTAACCAAGAGACTAAGTAGAAAAGGGATATGAATCAGCCTTAATGCAAGGTAGAGTTATGGAACTTGGTCAGTGACATACAATTATTACCCTCCAATTATGACCCTAAGTGCATGTGTAGAGTTTCAAGTAAATATCTTTGAAGATCTTTAACCTTTAACCAAAATTTCTAAGTTTCAAAGGGGCAAATAATTCTGCAAATATTGCAGGCAGAGTTATGCAATTTTGCAAACTGATGTACATTCTTACTATAAAAAAGTGTTTTAAATTTCAATTGAATATCTCGAGCAATAATTGAGATATTTGACTTTACAAAAAAAACTTTAACCAAAATTTCTAAGTTCCAAAGGGGCATAATTCTGTCAATATTGTAGGCAGAGTTATCCAACTTGTCAATCTGATGTACCTTGTTACTATAAATAAGTATTGTAAGTTTCAATAGATTATCTCAAGTAATAATTGAGATATTTGACTTTACAAAAAACTTTAACCAACGCAGACGCCGACGCGGACGCCGACGCCGGGGCGACTACAATAGCTCTCATATTCTTCGAATAGTCGAGCTAAAAATCATAAAATTTAACATATGATTTTGGACACAGTTTTTTAATAACTGCCCTGAGAACCAGTGGTACTTACTTATTAGCCTGTAATATTGGGAACACAGTGTTTCCTACCCCACATCCAACCTGAAGAGGTAAGAAATTAAAAGGATTAAAACAATTTGATTTCATTTTAATTTTCACAACAGCTTGAAGACAACACTTAATATAGTAAGGCATGGAAATATTCAAATGTAGAACAAGAAAAACAAATATCTTCACTTAATTACACTCAATTAATACAAACAGAAATAGAAAGTACTAAAACATGATAAAGTTGTTTTTTTTCATTGAATTTCAATTTGTACAATAAACTCTTGTAAATTCAACAAACCTCCAACATTCTGTATTTAGCGTTTTCTCCTGGAAATGTTTCTGCCCCATTTTCTGTTACAATATCATCCCTCCCACTCTCAACATTCCCTGAACAACTTCCACACTGATTATTCATTTTACTGTTGTCAGATTCTGACAAATTTGTCTGTGAACTGTCATGATTCCCATCATTGTCAGATACACTATGTGAACTATTTGTGTCACAATCTTTTTTCCGAACATCAACAATTTTTCTACATATCTCCTTATTAGAACTAAGGAGAGAAAGTTCTGACAATTTGTCGGCAGAAAGATATGATTCCGGTGCTAATTCTGCAAACTCTGTGAACAACCAATGCCTGTCTTTGAAGAACTTGTTCTCATGTATTCCATAAAATTTGTTCCAATATTCATTGGCATCATTTTCGAATTTCTCTAAAATATACATAAAAATCAAACATAAGTAAAAATTATATATAAAATTAACAAAGACTTAAGTGTACATAAAAGATCTTTTAAAGAATTATTTCAAACAGGTATATGAAAGAGTTACAGAGAGAGCAAACTTGTGGCGAGCTTAATAACTTTTCTATGATTAATTCAATATTGTATGTAAAACGACATAAATAATTATAAAATTCCTTTTATTTCAAGTATTTTAAGGCTATTTGTGACTATTAAACTGGGGTCTTTGGTTACCCTACAATTTATCTTAAATAAATCAATAAGAACATTATGCAAAGATAATTTCAACTTTCAAATGTTGTTATGTGCTTTATAATGAGCATAATATACTGAAAGCTTTCAATGTTTGTAATTTTATTTTACAAAAAGGCTTCAGTCTGAACTGCATATTGAAATCTACTTACCTATATCTTCTTTAGTAGCTGGGTTGGCTAACTGTTCTTCAGTTTTTGCTCTAGCTTGTTTTTCCTGTTCTTCATCCCACACCACATTATCCCTGAAAACATTCACACAGGTCAATTCTTTTACATATTTGTTTGTTTGTGAAGCGTACACATTAAATATGCACATTAAATTTATTCATAATTACGGGCATTTTTGGGCAGCATTCAAATAGCTTGAAATACAACATAATATTCTATATACCGATCATTTTCAAATCATGTACATTCAGTCATTGCACCATTGCACAGCCACCAGAATTGTATCATGTGATCATCCAATACACTGGAGCCTCTATATAGTGCTCTCCGATATAACACTATATATCAGTATAACACTCATAGGCCTTGGGCCCCCCCCCATAATTCTGTCAAAATCCATGTTAGAGATATCCGTCTTAGGTTATGACCTCCTTTTATGCTCTCAAATAAGTGTGTGACATTTCAATCCATTGCCTTTGGTACTTTTTGAGATACAAACCTTGCATGAAAAAACTTAACCAAAGTGTGATGCAGATGCTGGTGTAAATACATGAAATAACTCTCCCTATATTTTGAATAGTCAAGCTAAAAATGTAAAACTTGCTTATAAAATGTAAAATCAGTGATTTTATTCTTTTGCCTGATATTACCTTCAAATTTCAGTCTCTTCACTAATGCCAAATACATAAAAATTTCACAAGAATATGAAGAAAATTCACTTTAGTGGGATTGTTTTTCGGTACCGAAAAAAGTAATGAATTGACAAAAGTCAATTTTGAGAATTTGGTTGATAAGGGAATAGAAAGAAAAAAGCTTTAACTATAAACAACTCGATTTAATGTATCAATAAAGTAAATACAGATGATGATTTATTCTTGTTTATTTTTTCACAATTTGACAGGTTTTCAAGCTAAAAACTCACAATTTCAGAGGTATGGGCAAAATTACTGAAAACATATATGTTATATAACATGTTTAATAACAGGTTTCAAATAATGTCATTGTTAAGCTTCACTTACCATGCATTATGCTCAAATACATTTTTGGAATCTGTAAGCAATCTGTTACCAAACTGTTTCCTTTTATCTCCATCTGATTCTATATTTGATTCTGCCATTTTACTGGATTTTCTTCTCTTGTTTTGGATGACTACTGAAACATTTTCAAGACACTGTTTTTTTCAAACAGCACCAATCTGAAAATCAAAAAAATAAAAGAAAGTTTAATCCAGGGGGTAATGAAGATTGGAAGTGGCTAGCCGTACTGGCCTGTACAGCTAGCCAAAGGTTCTAGCCGTATGTGAGTCACATACGACTAGCAAGGACACACTGTATTGGCTAGCCGTACGGCACTTTTCAAAATGGCGGAGCATCTTTATTAAAGTGTACACACCAGGAAAAATACGGAGACTTGATTAATACGGGGAAGTCAAAGTGAAGCGGGCCCGGGCTTTGGCTTGCCCAGCTATAGACTACACGTGTATATTTAAAAGAAAATCAAATAAAAAAACAATTAAAAAATATATAGAATTCCATACCTATCAATGAAATTTTCAGTGTCAGTTCTAGTTAGGCGCCGCCATTTAAATGTAACCCAACGATAAAAGGCCGTGTATACCGATAACGAAACAAATCTCAACTTTTTGGATTAATAATAATCGTCGAGTGATCCGAGTGAAAACGGAAGCGGGTACATATAATACCGAATGACACAATTAAAACGGAAAAAATGAAAGGACTTTTTACTGACTTCCCCGTTCATAGGCTTTGCCTAATTTCATATTATCCTCGTTTAAAGACACAAAATAACATATGCATGTTCGACTTCCATAAAATTTTGAAAAGTGCCGTATGGCTATACAATACAGTGCGTCCCGGCTAGTCGTACGTGACTCACATACGGCTAGAACTTTTGGCTAGCTGTATGGGCTCTTACTGCTAGCCACTTCCATAAAGATTATATTTGTATCTTAAATACTGTTTAAAGACGTTTTCGGGAATTTTCATATAGACATATAGGCAAAATTAAAACTGTTCAATAGAATTTCTTTAAACTTGGCATGTTGTTAGAATGTGATAACAGAAACATTTTAAACCCGGATTAACCGATTTGGGGCCGCATTGACCAAATCAAAATAATGTGGGGCCGGATTTATTTTTATTTTCGTATGCCCGATATAATTTTTTCGCAAAAATAGCTTATTTTCGGTATCCTTCTTTACCCATTTTAATGTATTTACCTGTATGAAAGTGAAATTCTATGCTAAAACACCGAATGTATTTCAGAATAACCTCAAGAAGTCAAATAATTTTATTAAATTTACTTTTTTTTTTTTTTTATTTATAAACAAAACTCATGGCCCTTAAGGGCATAAGAGTGAACAATCAACAAAACAAAAAATAATAATACAAACATGGCATGAAGTAAATAAGTAAATAAGGAAGATGACTTATTGAAATTTCAGCATTATAGCTTTGACAAAAATGGCTAGATTAAATAAAGTATTTCTGTTGTCGCTACACATAAGAGCCTGAAAATTTAAAATACTAGGAAACCTTGAATAATAGTTACTGATATACCTGTGTCTTTCATGATTAAAACTAGAACTATCACTAAATGTGATTAATACCCCCACAAGTCTGCTTCGGAAATGAGGATGTTACTAGTAACAGAATACCTTGTAATAGAATTGAAACATAGAGTTATGGTTGTGGGCAATTAAAGATAATTGTGGTTCATGTATGTTGCATTTCCTTTCAATGTGGTTGGCCATTGATGAAGTTTAATTGAATTACTCTGTAATAAGTCCAGAAAGACAAAGAAAAAGAACAAAGGGCAATAACTCTATAAATACTGAAGATAGAGTTATAGTTCTTGTGCACTGCACTTCCTCTTATTGTGCTTGACCATTGTATGAAGTTGTTTTGAATTCCAACCAGTACATTTTAAGTTATGCTCCGGACAAGGAAAAGTATCAAAGGCAGTAACTCTGTATTTTGTCAAAATGGAGTTATGGCTCTTGTGCACTGCACTTCCTTTTAATGTCCTTGACAACTGTATAAAGTTGTACTGAATTCCAAACAGTAGTTTTCAAGTTATGCTCTGGACAAGGAAAAGTAACAAAGGGCAATAACTCTGTAATTAGTCAAGATGGAGTTATGGTTCTTGTGCACTGCACTTCCCCTTATTGTGCTTGACCATTGTATGAAGTTGTTTTGAATTCCAACCAGTAGTTTTCAAGTCATGCTCTGGACAAGGAAAAGTAACAAATGGCAGTAACTCTGTAATTAGCCAAGATGGAGTTATGGTTCTTATGCACTGCACTTCCTCTCAATGTGCTTGACCATTGTATGAAGTTATAATGAATTCCAACAATAAGTCTTCAAGTTATGGTCCGGACAAAAGAAAGCAATGGAAAAGTGACAAAGGGCAATAACTCTGTAATTAGTCAAGTAGAGTTATGGTTCTTGTGCACTGCACTTCCTCTTATTGTGCTTGACCATTGTATGAAGTTGTTTTGAATTCCAACCAGTAGTTTTAAAGTCATGCTCTGGACAAGGAAAAGAAACAAAGGGCAGTAACTCTGTAATAAGTCAAAATGGAGTTATGGTTCTTGTGCACTGCACTTCCTCTCAATGTGCTGGACCATTGTATGAAGTTATAATGAATTGCAACAATTAGTCTTCAAGTTATGGTCCGGACAAAAGAAAGCAATGGAAAAGTAATAAAGGACAATAACTCTGTAATTACTTTAGATAGAGTTATGGTTCTTATGCACTGCACTTCCTCTCAATGTGCTTGACCATTGTATGTAGTTATATTGAATTCCAACCATTAGTCTTCAAGTTATGGTCCGGACAAAAAAAAGAAGGCAATGGAAAAGCAACAAAGGGCAATAACTCTGTAATTACTTTAGATAGAGTTATGGTTCTTGTGCACTGCACTTCCCCTTATTGTGTTTGACAATTGTATGAAGTTGTTTTGAATTCCAACCAGTAGTTTTCAAGTAATGCCACGGACAAGGAAAAGTAACAAAGGGCAATAACTCTGTAATTAGTCAAGATAGAGTTATGTTTCTTACGCACTGCACTTCCTCTCAATGTGCTTGACCATTGTATGTAGTTATATTGAATTCCAACCATTAGTCTTCAAGTTTTGCTCCGGACAAGGAAAATGCAACGGACAAAAAAAAAGCAATGGAAAAGCAACAAAGGGCAATAACTCTGTAATTACTTTAGATAGAGTTATGGTTCTTGTGCACTGCACTTCCCCTTATTGTGTTTGACAATTGTATGAAGTTGTTTTGAATTCCAACCAGTAGTTTTCAAGTTATGCCCCGGACAAGGAAAAGTAACAAAGGGCAATAACTCTGTAATTAGTCAAGATAGAGTTATGGTTCTTGTGCACTGCACTTCCTCTCAATGTGCTTGACCATTGTATGTAGTTATATTGAATTCCAACCATTAGTTTTCAAGTTATGCTCCGGACAAGGAAAATGCAACGGACGTCTGGACCGACCGACCGACCGACCGACCGACCGCCCGACCGACCAACCGACCGACCGACCGACCACCGGGTGACTCCTATATACCCCCCCAAACTTTGTTTTTGGGGGTATAATAAGTACATTTAAAAATATAATGAAATTCATCACCTATTTCTTGCTGATTACAAAGTGAGCATGTTCTATTTTCTCTTTCAATACCAAAATAGCGACCTTTCTCTATAGGAATATTAGAATTGAGACATCTAAATTTACAGAGAGCAATTGCTAAATTTCTTGGTAAACATAGTAAATAATGTTCTAATTTAAATTGAGTTTTATATATTCTATAGTTTAAACACTTAGCAGAATCAAAAACATCACTATTCCATACTTGTAAAAACTGATCACGTAATCGTGATTTTATTACATTTTTAAAATTATTAAAATTTGCAACAGTCTGAGTTATCCAAAAATCAGAACAACCAAGATTATTCAAAGTAGATTTTACTTTCTCGATCCACTGACAATGTAAAATACCCTTTTCATGAAGATTATACATAGTGCGGTACAAAGAAGCACATATTTTATCATTTTTACCATTAACTAATTTACTCCAAAAATTTAACATTCTGCAAGTAATATCATTTTCAATGAAAATGCACCTAGTTCTCCCAAGACCATAACCGAAGGAGTTGACATCTTAAGTTTAAGTATATATTTATAAAATTTCAATTGAAACTGAGAAATAATAGAATTATTTTCAGATCCCCACACCTCCGACCCATACAATAATATTGGCTTAACCATACTATCAAACAACTGTAACTGAATATCAATTGGCAAACACAATTTCTTAATTTTAGTTAAAATACTAAACATAGCCTTCCTCGCTTGATCTGTCAAGTGCTTTTTTGTTTTATTAAATTTACCATTAAAGTTGAATATCACACCTAAATAACTAAAATCATCTACAGCTTCTAGAGGTGCATTATTGAAATAAAATACAGGCTTATTTCTTAATTTACCACGAGAAAATACAACAACTTTTGTCTTATCGGTATTAACAGTCAAATGCCATAATTTACAATAATCAAGCATGCAGTTTAGTGCTGTTTGAAGGCCAGTTTGACTTTCCGTGAAAACAACTATATCATCAGCATAGAGTAATAAGTACAACTTCAAGAATACATCAACTTCATCATTACTTAACTGTTCATTTATCTGGTCTGATAAAAACTGCAACCCTTCACAATATGTAGACATATAAGAAACCAAATCATTAAGGAAAATTGAAAACAAAATCGGAGAAACCTGACGGACACATAAACAGCTTACAAATGAATCTGACAATGCATTATTCACTTTAACACAAGACTTAGCTTTGTCATAGATATTATGAATAACTTTAAGTATTTTCCCATCAATATTATGTGCTAACAATTTCCTCCAGAGAGCAGTACGGTTTATACTATCAAATGCTTTCTTGTAATCAATAAAAGAGCAATACAATCTCTTTTTCTTCGATAAGTAAATATCAATCAACATTTTTAAGGAAAAAATATGATCCGTATCCTCGAGTGACCAGTTTCGACGCCCATAAGGATTGTTTTGTATGCGTCTATTAAAACCATGTGATTGTATTGTATAAAATGTTTTAACTTATTAAAAAATCTCTAACCTTTATGAAATGAGTAAATTTAAGCAGTTTTCCAGCTATTCCTTTTCAAGAACAATCCTACTTTCACTTCATCCGGGAGCGGCCATTTTGATTGAGAGTGCCCTAAAACGACGCTATTGATTGGCTAATTTAATTACACACTACAGGAGACTGTACACCATAATACTTTTACTTACGCTATTCATCAATATCAAGAGCATAGACCTGCAAAGTATCAACAAGTGAAAAATAGTTTATCTATTCTTTATTTCTTTCAATAATAAAGCATAATTATATATGGTAAATGCTATTGTTGTATTTTTACTGTGGTTTGGGTGGTTGCCCTAGTCTGTTTGACCTCCTCTGCTGAATAATAAAGGTTGGAAAATAGCACAGTAACTTCCTTTGTTGAACCTGCAAAAGCAAAATAACACATTTAGCAGAGCAACTTACTAAATCATGGCAATTCATTCCATCCAAATAAGATAAATATATCCAATTAATTTTCAATTAACATTCATTCATCGATTATTAACCGTTAAAAAAATATACAACACGTACAGGTTGCTTTAGGGTGAAAAAATGCGCCAAAACAACACTATTGGGTAATTTTACTGCCATTAGTCCTAATTATAAGACCTATACGTAACCTATTTCATATTTATCATTCATTAATCTGATATTTTACATTTTTCATTTTCCATGTTACGTTAGGTCTTAACAGATCTTTGCAAAATCGTGTAGCAAAAAAATTGACATTAGACATCGATTTAGATCTAATGAATTTAAACAATTAAAACAGCCTGTATTTACATTAATTTTGACCTATTTATAAACAAAACTAAAAAATTAATACCTTTTAACAAAATAATTTAACTGTCACATCCGAAAAGTCATGATTAAATCCTCTCATTTAATTAAATTCCTTGTACAGCCGATATACAAATGGCCGCCATAAAGTGCGCGAAATCTGATTGGCTAATACAAATGCAAGCGTTTAAATGAGTCCAGAAGTTTCTAACGGAATATTTTTTTAACGAAATAATTGCCCATGCACCGTCAGTGTGTTCGAATATATTTTTCCGTTCAAAAAATTGGAATCAATCTGTAAAACGCTTTACTTAACCAGTATGGCCGATGAGCGAAATAGACTGATATTTCTATTTTATTTTTAATTGATAAGTACATTGTTTGAAAGTTTTTGTTAATGATAGACCATGCAATTGAAAGAACAGAGGATAGGCTTTTGAATAAAGCTTGAAAGGCAAGCCAACAGACATTTTTTTAATTTTTCAAAATGCTACGCGTTTATGAGCAATAACTATTAGACGTCAGGCTTGACCAAAATAAAACTAATATGAAAAAGGCAAAGCCTCTAAGCGAGCTCGATGTACTTTAAACGTGAAATAGTATGAAATAATCGTTCATTTTTATTTCAAATGCAGTGACGAGTGCGTGTGACGTCACATGTATTTTGTTAAATTTGGCTCTGCCCCTGTCGTTAAATGAATAACGAGTTTTGAAACGTTGATAAAACTTTGTTTGTTTATTTTATTTCACTCTATGACTTTCAAGCGAAATAACGGTTATTAAAAGTGAAATAAATGTAAAACTTTAAACGTTTGCGACATTAAAATAGCATACTTGATTTGTTTGTTTTGCACGTGCTGTTTGGCGCTACATTGTGACGTCACGTAAACAATACTTTAAACGTCTGTACAGCGTTAACGACTGAATAAAAGATATTGGTGTTCGGATTAATTTTCTTAGTATTCTAGATAGTTTTCACAACAAAATTCGACAAAAAAATTGTTTTTATTTATCACGTTTTTCAAACAAAATGGCGCTTTTAATTTTCATTCGATATTTTATACACAGCTTCTGTTATTCTGGTTCCCTGTTCAATTATGTTTCCCATAGACGTGCGCGGGTGACCAGTCTACACATCCGTTTTCAGTCAGAATTCCTCAGTTTTTATCGTTATCTTTAAATCCGAAAAGTTGCGATGTGTCCAATTCGGTACTTCGGACGAAAGTTTTCAAAACCATCACTTAGCAGGTACTCGCGTTATCGTATAGCTCGCTTTGCGAGCAGGCCCTTCGGGCCAGCTCGTCGAGCTCGCTATAACAAGCCTGTAAAGTCTAATCTATTGGACTATACTGCCATGTGACCTGAGAATGAGGAAATGAGGTCAGCAGACAGGGAGGTATTTTCCAGCTGATGTTTTCAAGGAAAGCATGACATTACCTTTGGGTGTCTTACTTACTACATATTGTTACCTGACAAACTAGAGGAATCCCCTTTTGCTATAGCGTAGTACAGTAATGACGTAAGAGGCCGCTTCTATCAATTATGAGGCAAAATATAAATGGCGTCGAAATAGGGCAGCGTAAAAACGGGTCACTCGACGCTGGGATGTACAGGTCTAGGATTTCATGATATTTACGGACTGTCCGTAAATTCATAGATGGTCTAGAATTTTAAAGATTTTTCAATCCATAAATTTAGAGATATTCAATGTGAAATTTGCTGTTTTTAGTTTTAAACTAAAATCCGCAGCTTAAGACAAGTTGTTTTATTGATTGTTTATATTTACAAAGGTAATGGGGTGAGTTTCATTTTTGTATGATGATTTTGAAATTTTTGTTAAAAGTGAAAATTGAAAGTCATCAAATTGTTTAGTTCTGGCTTCCATAACTTTATATGCCGCTTTTATTTTGACGTTGCGACAGTAAAGTTATGGGTCAACCCTATTTGCAAAGGCTACCAGAATTTGACAGTTTGTGCACCGTACATTAAAACCTATTAAAATCACCCTTATTAATCAAATTTGGGTCAAATAAAAATACCATTTGATAAACAAGTCAATTTTGAACTAATTCATGTTTTGTTTTTAAATGAAACTTCAATGACATTGTGTACCCTACTATTTTTAGAGAAATATGTAGAGAATGTTTACCAATATGGAGTCTGCTTTCAAATGAGATCTCGCGGGACTTCATGTTTTGGAAATTCTAGCATCTATTTTTAGTAACGGACCATACACTATTTTTAGTAAGTGTATGATTTTATATAAAAACAAACAAATAATTCATGAATCATCACTCAAAACAATATAAATCCAACCATGTTTTTGGTACAATGTCTTTTATTGAATAAATACACCGTTATTCATAATTGCAAAGCCATGTTTTCAATTAAAAATAGCATTTAGGTCACGTGTCACCAAATGTCATGCAAAGGTATCCGAACCTAAATTCTCGCTGGTCACGTGATAATTAGGGCAGCAATGGCGGAGAATTTTATGAAATGTGAACCCGCTGATAAACTTTGAGGCAATATTTCATTAATCTAACATTCTGCGTTCAAAAATATAGACTGAAGGGTCCCAAATATATCTAACTACCTGTATTAAAATAGTTTTTGTCCAGATCACGAAGATTTATTGAATTACAGCATGACATAAAAATGTCACGGGTCTGGTTGACTTTCGATACGGGGTTGGCTTCAGCGAACAGGTCTAGCAATACTATAAAACCTGTTCGCTGAAGTATCTTTAGCTACCAATTGTTCTGGATCTTACCATACCGTAACATTTATTCATATAATAAGTAACCTTATCCATTTTTACCTGCGGTTTTTGAATTTTAATGCAACTTCTACTATTTTCTTAGTTCATGTCTGTAAATTTACAGATTAAAAAATCTGTAAAATTATGGATCGTCCAAAAATTAACAGACTGTCCATAAATATCATGAAATCCTAGACCTGATGTACGTATCGTATGTTCCAGCTCGACGATAGTTCCATAACCATTACGAAACCCTGCCTGCTCCTCAATTAATAGGCCAGACTCTTCCAAAAAAATATTTATTCTAGAATTTAACACTAATGTGAACAATTTACCAAGAGTTTTAGACAACTTAAAATACAAAAATCGAAATGTTTACCTAGCTCTACTGATAACGCGAAAACGCATGTCAAAGTAAGGTTTGCTCCGGATCATTCGAACGCATGCGAAACGATATCTAACAAAACGGCATCTTTACCCGGAAAGGACACCTATCGTCAAGACGTTGGCTGACGTTCCTGAAAGTGTTATTTTTATCACATAGGTAACCTTGTCGCTTTTACGACTCCTTACAATGGTGTTACACGTGCATGCTCGTATATATTTTGACGTGACATCATTTGCGCGTTACATTAAGGCGCGTGAAGGACAAAATAATAATTTTTAGGTGGGTGGGGGAATCCCGAGTCCGTGTATGATAGCACAGAAACTTGAAATTCCATCAAATAACCAATATTTATGATAATATCCAAATATACCCCCTATATACTTTAAATAATTTTTTATAGTATGTAGGGGGTATATTTTGCATATTATCGTTAATAGTGATAGAATTTCAAGTTCCTGCACATGTGCATATACTATAACTGTTTTATCGCAATGGCATAATGTTTTCTTTTTATTTGTTTGGGTCGTCAGACCAAACAAATAATGGTAGCGAAATTTCAGAGTCTAATGCTGTGAATTGCAAATGCCGAAAGTAGTCCAGTTCTTTGAAGCGGTTACTTTATATGTACACTAACGCCGAAAAATTCAGGGGAGATCACTGCGTAAAGATTGCCAAAGACAGGCACATTAATTTTCAAGCAAAATAATTCCCGAATGGTCGAAGATTTCTAATATTGTTTTATTGTATTTTCTGATCGAAAATAAGTAAATACAAAGCGGGTATTCAATCTCTGACATAGAAGTTTACGACAAACCTAACAACAAGTAGTTCTCAAAACAGCTTAAAACTAGCGATTTAAAAGAAAGAAATATTTTTATTTTGTTACAAGTATCCAACAAATTAAAAATAGCGTTGGCTTATATATTGTCAATAAATGCACAATCACAAATTACGCGGATGAATATGATTTTATCAATGAAAATACTATTTTTAGCGATGTCGATTACCGAATACTACACAAACCGAGTAGTGGAATATATAGAAGATTTTCGCTAAATTATTTACTTCAATTTTAAACAACAGGCTTTAATATCCTGAACAAAATACCTCGAAATTAATAAGGATTACAAACCCGAAATGCAGACATTGTTTGTTCTAAATTTAGAATGACTTGATGTTATTCAGACATTGTATAATTCTCCGAGGTGCAGGGGTAACGCGCTCGCTTAGTGAGTGAGAGGTCAGGAGTTCAAATCCCAGTCGAGGAAACTTTTTTTTTTTAATTCTTTTTTAAGTGTCTTTGTTAAGGAAGTAGCCATGATATGCAAGGATAAAGTGTAGCTGTCGTAAAAAATGAACATAAATGATATTTTTATGCAACTCTAGTTATGCAAAATTCCGTATGTATCAAACTCTGGTGCCTTGCAAAATGAATTATAATACATAAAAATAAACTTACTAGTATACAGGAAAATACATACAGATATACAGTACGAATTAGATTGCAAAGATCAGAAAATACCAGAGAACTTGCAGCCCTTTGATTCTTTATAAATATACATGCTTATAGTAAGCTCCAGGATTATTTACATCTGTGTTAAACAACAGTTAAAGTCGTTACAAGCCCTAATTTAGAATAATACGGTTTTCTTCAGGCCGTTCACATATAAATTCACCGTGGCTGAAGGGTTTTCGCGCTCGCTTAGGAAGCGAGAGGTTTGGAGTTCAAATCCCAGTAAAGGCAACTCATTTTTTTTCAAATTGTTTAAGTAAAATAAATATTGGATTGAATATCAACGTTGCAATTAGTCTTATAGCCAATTTACTACAATTAAAACGCTGGAAAGCATTGGTGGCACTATACATATAATCTCACAACCTGTACCTTTCTTACATTCTGAGACCCAAACAAATTCAGCGCCTTCTGTGCTTTGATTTGTAATAGGAATAAATAAATAAATAAATCGTTAGCTACATTACAGTTATTCATGATAAGGCAGTTTTTATTTGTTTGGGTCGTCAGACCAAACAAATAATGGTAGCGAAATTTCAGACCCTGATGCTGTGAATTGCAAATGCCGAAAGTAGTCCGCTTTTTTGAAGCGGTCACTTCCCTTTATATGTACACTAACGCCGAAGAATTAAGGGGTGATCACTGTGTGGAGATTGGGGAGATCACTGCGTAAAGATTGTTAAATGACAGGCGCATTAATTTTCAAGCAAAATAGTTCCCGAATGGTCGAAGATTTCTAATTTGTTTTATTCTTTATAGATATACATGCTTATAGTTAGCTCCATGATTGTTTACATCTGTGTTAAACAACAGGTTTAGCGTCGAAATAATAAGAGTTACAAACCCTAATTTAGAATAACATGGTTTTCTTCAGGCCGTTAATATATAACTTCACCGTGCCCGAGGGGTTTGCACGCTCGCTTAGGAATCGAGAGGTCTGGAGTTAAAATCCCAGTTAAGGCAACTCATTTTTTTAAGTTGTTTAAGTCAAATAAACATTGAATTGAATATCAGTGTTGCAATTAGTCTTATAGCCAATTTACTACAGTTAAAACACTGGAAAGCATTGGTGGCACTATACAAAAACAAATTGGTTTATAATCTCACAACCTTCTCCTTTCTGACATTCTGAGACCCAAACAAATTCACCGCCTTCTCTTCTTTGATTTCAACTTGTTTTCGCTGCTGCAAAAAAAACAACATGGTACATGGAATGCCTATATAATGAATCATTATTTTTTATTCATTTCTTATTTTTATTTTTTCCAACAACATAGATCACAGTTATACAAAATATATACATATATAAAGATATTATCATCTGTTCTATCACAGATATATATTCAATCTATATTTAGCTCCATGGTTCTATTCATGACAATAAGGAGATTTTATAAATGAATGTAGAATTTACCCGTACGTATATTGATAACCTTGGCTTAAGAATAAAATATATAACACTTCATATGACTTCACTCTTTTTATTATAATAACTTGATTTATCAGGGATTATAATGACGATGATGATGATAATGATGATGATGATGATGATAATGATGATGATGATGATGATGATAGACGCACCTTGTTAAATTCCTGACCAGTAGCGGTTTTATAATCTTTATACATTAGTCACGTGATCTGTAAGGGTCCCAAACCCTTGGTGTCAAATATACAACAGCTTCTAGACTTTACACTGGCTTGAAATATTCTTAACATAACTGATAAACAACCTTTTGACATATCAAGGGGCAGGACGTGAAGTGGTTGCACACTTGGTTCAAGCGAGCGAATTGGTTGCAAACTTGACAAAATGGCGAACACGGCGTAATTTTTTGAAACTGGTGAACGAATATTTGCCAGGCAAGTGGGTTTCTTTGTTATTTTGAAGTTCATTAGTATGTCTATTCCATAATGCAATATATACGCCACACTCGGTTAAAGGTTTCAGCATCCTAGATTCTGTTTTGACGAAGTTATTGAAGATATAAACTGATCATGTAGATATTTTGAAATTTGACATGTGACTGTTCTGGTCGGTTTTTCTCCTAATTTATTCGAATTTGTTAGTTTTAAACTGCTTTTAACAATAACAAAATATGTTTCTGTCAATGCTGTACAAGTGGTTTAGTTCGCAAATCCGAAGATAACGTTCAATACACAAAAATATCTTGATCAAGCACATTTGGTTGCAGACTTATACTTCAAGCATTTTTGGTTGCAAACTTATTCTTATTCTATTGAAATCCATAGTAAAACTTTGCAAAAGAAGTGTAGAAGGTTATTTTTATTAAAGATCCTGTATGTTTTGTAATTGTGGTTGTATACTACACTTGCGTGAAACTATATATTTATATAATTATGCTAAAACAACAATTTTCAAACATTGAAAAATGTGTAAAATATGTACTGCAAATATTTGTACATATTAAATGTAATCATTTAATTATATTTTCAATGGAAATTATTGACATTTATGTTCTGTTACTTGTTTTTGTTATAAATGTCATTTATTCTTTCTTCTTTTACAACAATTATGCACTTAATGTTTCAAATAACATGGTTCTCAGTTCAATACTATAATCATCAGTAAAAGCCTGCAAACAAAAATAGCATACTGTACAGAAAAATATATTTTGATACTTCAATTCTAAAATATGTCATCATATGTAAAATGCAAATGAAAACTACATACAAAACAAAGGTATGTGAAAGTACTGTAAGTGAATTATTTTCATCATAAACATAAGGACATGTGCACACATACGATGTTACTCGTCAAAATTTCTAAAGTTTATCAAAACCACAAGAAATGTTAATTGTTTCGTATGTAAAGATCAGCAGTTGCTTTAGACATAAAGTATGTAAATGTACTTAAAATATTTTTAGAAACCAAAAGTTAAAATGACATGCTTGTTAACAATATTTCGGATTTGATGTATATCATATGTCAATTGGTTTTCAACCGCCTCCGTGTTCGAGGGGTTAGAGTCGATGACTTCTAATCCAGTTACCTCTCTGGTGTGGGTTCGATCCCCGGGAGATGCTTTGGTAGTTTAGCGCGGAGGAAGGTAGTCTAGTACTGGTGTAACTCTCCAGGAACGATTGTTAGGAAACTACCCGCCTATATGACTGAAATACTGTTGGAAAAGGGCGTAAAATGAAACAAACAAACAATTGGTATTCTAAATAACTGATAAACGATTGGTTATTTACATTGACTGATACGTGACAAAACTACTTAAAGTCATTGTTCGAGTTAGGGAATTTGGGAGATGTTTCGATTGGTCAGTAATAAAGAAACATGTGAATAATGCCCTTGTGTCAATGTTAATATAGTTTTTATCTACTATATAATCAAATTTATTTCAAATCTCTAAAACGAACAATTATGAAAGCTGTTTGTTGCTATTTTTTTCTTTTCCTTTACAGTTAGTCATGCCAAGTTATAAAAAAAGTCTTAAGACTTTGTAAAAAGAAAAGAAGTACATCGAGGAGAAAAATGATGAAGATAAACACAACTGAACTTCAATTTAGCATATTATTTGAAAGACCCTGTGTTAGGATATATCTGCACGCATGCACAATTTGTATATATATTTCTTATTAGATGAACGGGTATAATATTGCCTTAATATTGCTAATTATTTAAAAAAAAAGATTATTATTCCTCGCTAAAAATATGCATGCCACATTATTGACACAAAAGTTTGCAACCAAAAATGCTTGAAGTATAAGTCTGCAACCAAAATGTGCCTGAACAAGATATTTTTGTGTATTGAACGTTATCTTCGGATTTGCGAACTAAACAACTTGTACAGCATTGACAGAAACATATTTTGTTATTGTTAAAAGCAGTTTAAAACTTACAAATTCGAATAAATTAGGAGAAAAACCGACCAGAACAGTCACATGTCAAATTTCAAAATATCTACATGATCAGTTTATATCTTCAATAACTTCGTCAAAACAGAATCTAGGATGCTGAAACCTTTAACCGAGTGTGGCGTATATATTGCATTATGGAATAGACATACTTATGAACTTCAAAATAACAAAGAAACCCACTTGCCTGGCAAAAATTCGTTCACCCGTTTCAAAAAATTACACCGTGTTCGCCATTTTGTCAAGTTTGCAACCAATTCGCTCGCTTGAACCAAGTGTGCAACCACTTCACGTCCTGCCCCTTGCATATACGGCATGCTTTTAAAAGGATCCCGGCTGTCCTGAATATGATAGGGTAGTGGTCAATTATCAGGATCTCTATATAACTAAAACGATCCCGGTTTTTCTAAATGTGACTATATGTACATAGTTTATAGTATCAGTAATATATATTTTTTGATAGAATTGTTTGATTTTGTATTGACATGTATTTTGAATGTGTTGAAGTATATTTGGGTAATTAAGTGGGTCCTGGGGGTGGTACCTTGGGGAGTAGGGCTTGCAATGGTCCCACGCCGATAACTTGTGTGTTTGACATATTCAACAAAGATGGATACATCATTTAGATGTCAAACATTTTGAAGTTGCTCTTACATATACAATGTACTGTTAAAACGCACTCTCTATATTTGTCAGTAAAGTCACGTGACTATTAGCCAGCTGTCAAGTTGTCACCCTGGAACAGTATGTACATGTATATAAATAGATAAGGTGTATCTCACTTTGATGTCCACACATTTTGTCCTCGTGACCTACGAAGGCGGACACTAAAAGCGTGCATAACATAATAGAGATGTAATATATTGCACAAATATTACACAAATTGTTTCCCGGATGTAAATTTATTTATCTCTGTACTAATATTCTCACATTTTTCGTTATCTTACTGTTTAATCACTTCCGGTCATCTAAGCTATAATTAAATTAGTGCATACGTGTTATAAAGGGATTTAATTGAAAGTAAGTTGGTAGTGTTTTATTATTTAGTTTTCAATTCAAGTAATGTGAATGGTATGATAGTATATTTTGAAAAAAAAAATGCAACAGAATCTTGACTAATTGTATGACACAATTTAAGAACGAAAACCGCTTCAGAATGTGGGTGCGGAAACACGTGGCAAGCAAAACTAGACAAGATCTGCTCGTTATTGTTTAATACACATTGATTTTACCCTGCACGGAAAACTCGTGCATAAACACTTATCTATTTTGTAACAAAGGAAGGTATGAAAATAGAGATTTCATAAGTGGCGGTTGTCACGAGTGAAAAATTATAATTTTCATACTACAATATGTATTAGATATATTATATACATTTTTTTGACATAACTATTTGATAGACTTCCCTGAAATTTTGTGTACTGGCAGAAATTAGAAGAAAGTAGTCCGGCAATTAAGACACCAGTGAAAATACGGACAATGAAAATACGCATTTTATTTCATCAATATTTCTCAATATTACATTCATAAGTATATAAAAAAGTATATGATACATTTTAACTTACATTGAAAACAAATAATTTTTCTATTTATGTCATACTTATTTAGTGATTTTAAGCCTTTTTTACTGATTTTGCCGCGTAACGTCGTGTGTCCTTCTCTATGACCTCATCAAATCATAACGTCACAATACCAGACGAGCGTTGAGCGTATTTCTGTAAAAAATCTCTGTAAAGGGTTGTTTCATTTTTAACACAATGTATGCAGTCATTTTCTTGCTTCTCCTAAACAAGCAAAAATGTACATACTTCGGAATTTATTCCTGTTATGTGGCTAATTCCTTTTAGTTATGAAATATTTTTATCCGCATTCAAATATAGTCCGGCTACGACTCCAACCTTGAGCAGTAAAGAATATTTCGTAAACAAAATCATGCGTTATTTTGTATTAATTAACCCTTTCACTGCCGTAGGGACGGCTTATGCCGTCCCTGTTCTTTTCGGCGTATTTGCCATATGAACGGCTTTAGCCGTTTCTATAATAAAAATAGTAATAATAATAAATTAATAAAGATAATAATGAAAATAATAATAAATATAAAGAAGATTATACCATCGACAACAATTATTATTATACTCACAGATTTGGAAACATATATAATTATTATAATACTAATAACAAATAATAATAATTATATTAATTAATAATATAGTAATTTCTTAGAAAACCCTCTGGCAAATAGGTGATCAATAAAACAATAACCCTCTGGCAGTGAAAGGGTAAAACAGATGATCTAGTGACTAATGTATGTATTTCTATCATTGTTTATTACAGAATTTATCCTGGTTGAAGAGTGTAAGCATCAGTTAGAACAGGCAATATATTTCGAAATGAGCGAAGGCAAAATAAAGGATCAATCGTTTGATACTGGCAAACGTGTAAAATCAAATAGCTCAAAGGTCTCCAAAAATGTAGATAAGAAGTCTAACAACAAGAATCAGCAGCTGGTGATTGGCAACAACAAAAAAGTTCCCAAAAGATTTCCGTGCGACACTTGTGGCAAGACTTTTGCAAGAAATTCTTATCTGAAAATACACAAAATGATTCATACCAATGAAAGACCAAGAGTTTGTCCGATTTGTGACAAAGCATTCCTGCAGTATACAAGTTATAATATCCATATGAGGTACCACAATGACGACAGAAGGTACTCGTGTTCCATATGTGACATGCGTTTTATCTCCAGCTCCCATTTAAAACGCCACAAAACTGTACATTCAAATAGCCGACCTGTCACGTGCGAAATTTGCTATACCCATTTCAAAACAAAGGACGATCTTAAAAAACACACGGACGTTTTGCATTCTGGGCGAGAGAAATTAGCATGTGATATTTGTAATAAAAAACTGTCGGACATTCAGAGATTAACAGAACATATTTCGCGCTTACATTCCCAGTCAGAAAAACGCTGGGCTTGCTCTGTATGTGATAAAACATTTTTCTCAAATAGAGAACTGCGAAGTCATATGATTGTCCACACCGGGGACAGGGACCATCAATGTTTCAAGTGTGAGAAGTCATTCTCGTTAAAATCAAACCTAAAAAGACACGAAAAGATCCATTATTCTAAAGCTAATAATAAAACGGAATGATTCTGAAAATTACATTCTCCCAACAGTTTTTTTTTATCCCCATTAATGCTATCAATCAATGTTTTCAACACGTTATACTCACTGAACTTGATGGAAGTCATATATTTAACATAAGAACATATACATGTACGTATGTTACTATGTAGTTCTTTTTTACAAAATAGTTCGCCATGGGGAAGGAGGGGGTGCTAAATTATTTACTGAGATCATGCAGGTTGAAATACACTGCTGCGATTTTATGTTTTATGTGATATGTACTAGTATGTAACAGGTACCAATTATTTTGATAAATCGAAACTGTTTTGTATCGAGGTGTGTTTAAAGAACATTTTGTTTGGATGTAAATAGGCTAGCTTATGTACATATATTGTATATAATGGGTCACAATTAGTTAGTTTCATGACTTGTTAAACATTTTCTTTTATAATTATTTATGGTTTATTGCAATAACATGAAGGTTGGTTTCGCGGTTTTTTTGTCGCCTCTACGGAGTAGTGGCGACATATAGGGATCACTTCTCCGTCGTCTGTCTGTCCGTCTGTCTGTCTGTCCATCCGTCCGTCACAAAACTTGTCCGGACTACTCTTCATAAACTACTGGTGCAATTTCATCCAAACTTTACAGGAATGATCAGTACCAAGTCTAGTTGTGCATATTGTCAGGATTTTCCGGTTCAATGATTTTTGTCAGAGTTATGGCCCTTTAATAATTTTTAATTTTAAAGTTTGTCCGGACTACTTCTCTTATACCACTAATGCAATTTCAATGAAACTTTACAGGATTGATCTGTAGCTCAAGTCCTTACGCAAATTGCACGGGTTTTCCGGTTGAATGATTTTTGGCCGAGTTATGGCCCTTTGATAAAAAGGTTTCTTTTTCTGTGTGTTGCCAGATACACAAAAGCTTGTCCGGACTATTCCTCATAAACTACTGGTGCAATTTCATCCAAACTTACAGGAATGATCAGTACCAAGTCTAGTTGTGCATATTGTCAGCATTTTCCGGTTCAATGATTTTTGTTTGAGTTATGGCCCTTTAATAATAATTTTTATTTTTAAAGTTTGTCCAGACTACTTCTCTTATACCACTTATGCAATTTCAATGAAACTTTACAGGATTGATCTGTAGCTCAAGTCCTTGCGCAAATTGCACGGGTTTTCCGGTTGAATGATTTTTGGCCTAGTTATGGCCCTTTGATAAAAAGGTGTTTTTTTCTGTGTGTTGCCAGATACGCAAAAGTTTGTCCGGACTACTCCTCATAAACTACTGGTGCAATTTTATCCAAATTTAATTGAGTTCGCATGTTTTTTCTTCATAATGTTATATAATTTCAGTCCACAGGTTATTTAAAAGCAATCGAGCCGTGTCACGACAAAAACAACATAGTGAGTATGCGACCAGCATGGATCCAGACCAGCCTTCGCAAGCTGATCATTTCCATGCTGTTCGCTTACCAACCCTTTTACAAGTAGAGAAACTGATAGCGAACAGCATGGATCCTGAACAGACTGTGCGGATGCGCACGCTGGTCTGGATCCATATGCTGGTCGCCAACCCATTATGTTGGTTTTGTCGTGACGCGACTCAATTCATTTTTTCAGGCATTAATGGTGACGTTAACCGTTTTTGTTTTGTTTCTTATTGTTTTTAGCTCGCTATTTGATAAGTAGAGATTTTCTTGTCACCCGTGCATCGGCGAAAGTTGAATAAACATTTAATTGTTCTGCCAAAATGACAGAATAGAAAAGCCTTTATTCGTCTTTGAGTAATAGCAGTAAAATACAAGTGTTAACTTAAAATGATTCTGAAATAAATTTAACAGTTCTATATAAAGTGTGTTATCTATTTTGTGATGTTGCATGTGTTTTGAACAGATTCGCCGTTTAGTCACCCGGCCACATACACATGTGGCACCTGTAATACGAGCATTAACACAATTACAACAAATTACTTCGCGGCTATGCACGGAGGGGGGAAAACAACAGAATATCTTCCCAAAAAGGCAGGTTTAGTTCCTATTCCCTTGTGCAAAACCACGTGATCTTCAAATTGTTTTTCTGGTGAATGTAACTTTTGATTATGCTGCTGACCCATGTTATTTCTTGGTGAACCATCAAGTCAGCCATCATGATGAAACTGCTTCCATAATCGTAGACGAACTGCTTTTCTTTCACGGAACTGCTTTTCTATCATGCGTTTTTAACACCTGCAGCATCACAAAATAGATATAATACTCTATATAAAGCTATAAAAGATATTTTAGAATCATTTTAGACTGCTTTTATTTCACACAAAACAAGTCAATTCTAGTCTGTCGTTTTGTCAACATTATCTTATGCCTCTGAATGTAACAAGTTTACTCTCATGTCGTTATAAATGCAGACAAATCATACGATATACTCCATTTATTCTTCAATATATGTTTTGGTTACCAAACTAATAAATAATTTTGAATATATGTCACAGGTTATTTTGGCTTTGCTGTAAAACAGTTTCCTGCAGCACTTGTACTGAGCATTACCAAAGTTGTTCCTCTCATTCAATAACCCGGACTGACTTTTGACCTTTTTCTACATGCTTTGCGACCACCTCCGTGGCCGAGGGGTAAGAGTCGATGACTTCTAATCCAGTTACAAGTTGTCAGGCAGGGGTTCAATCCCCGGGAGATGCTTTGGTAGTTTAGCGCGGAGGAATGTAGTTTAGTACTGGTATATTTCTCAAGGAACGATGGGTAGGAAACTACCCGCCTATATTCATGACTGAAATACTGTTGGAAAAAGGCGTAAAATGAAACAAACAACATGCCTTGCACATATGATAGAACACAATTATAATAATATGAAATATGCTTAAAGCTTTGTTATTTTTTAAAAACAGAAATAAAACACAAAATGTCTTTATTGACTGTTATTTGTCAAGTACACAATTTCCAAAAACTTCCAGCTAACCAAGTCATTTTTGTTAAATTCTGGTCTTGCGGTTTCATTTCAATTTTCATGTATTTTTGTCGTGAACAATCCTTCCGAAGGACAACCTTATTATTCTCACCACAACCTTATGAAAGCATTCGAGATAGTCTTTCATAATATTCTCCCTTTGTAGACTTTAGAATTTTCTCCACGTCTTCTGCTTCATTTTCAGCAGACGGGTCATAGAGTCCGATTTTAGCAAGTATTTTTAATTTGGTTGTCCTGTATAGCCGGTCCCGTATTAATAATTTGTCGTATTGCTCCTGTGTGACACCATGTGTTCTAAGGCGTGCCCGGCACGTGCATAGCACGAGAATCATTTTCTCGATTTCATTTCGATATAAACTATATTCTTTAAACATTTCTGGTATTTTGATGAGTGAATGAATTGCAATTTTAACTTTATTGCAACAAAATATCATGGCTGGTCCAGAATTTAACATATCTGTTAATATTGACTGTAATTTTTTGTTCTCGTGCAACCCAACGCGACCGCGAAATAGGTTTCTCCGTGGAAGCATAAAACTTGGAAGATAATTTGTAACCAGGCATTTTCTTAGGAACTCAAGGCAGCATTGCAGTGTGTCTAAAATATTTGATCTCCTTTTTGAATTATGACAACAACGTGAACTTGTCCATAAAATCACATTTTTCATAAGATATGACGTCATTTCATTACAAACTGGCTTAAAAATAGATCTCGCTACAAGCTTGAGGAAAATATAAACTTTTAAATCGGCATGGCTTAGATTGCGAACGAGATTAAGCTCAGCTTCCGTATAACTTAGACGCCATTCCAAATATTTGTCTGCACTGTAGCTATTACCCACAGGGACAGCGTGCACTTGAGATTCAAAACCAAATGACGTATCGTTCACGTCACGGCAACGCGAAAGTTCTGATCTGTTCCGCAATATATTCTGATCCCGTGGAAGAAAGCATCTAAAGGAAACAACTCTGTCTATTGATAAGTAACCGTTGCTCACCGGGGAAGACGGTCCACTTTTCGCCTGCGTAGTGAAACCCGGCAACCATATGGTAGACTCCTTGATATTTTCTGTAAACTTTATGCTAGATATGTATTTCTCGCCGCTGGAATTTTCGAATAAGGAAGCAGAAATTTCTTCCTTGAGGCAGTTCCCATTGTGTTCTAAAAGCTTTAACTTTACATACCCGGGTGGGGTGTTCTCATTTTCTACTTTAAACAACGTTAGAATGTTCGAGTGGTCAATATATAAAGGTTTGTCTGTACAAATAACGTGTTTCACCGTGTGTAAATGGTCGATATCACTTTCAAAGTAGCGTGCAATCCCCTCCGCCTTACCACCTGTAGTGAATCGAGTACATGGTCCATCTTTGTTATTTATATTTGAAATTTTGTCCAGTGTGCGGTACGTTTCCTGCCTGCATCGGATCATTTCAGTGTTATACCCCATAATGTCCATAGCATTGGACAATAACACAGACATTGCAGACCATTTTGACATCTTCTCCATCATGTATACAATATATAATAGTATTATTTTGTTCTGTAAAAAAAGAGATGAGTATATATATCATAATCTATTTATTTCTTTTAATCCAAGTCGCAATTGTTCTGTATCAAAGACTATTCTAATATTTAAGCAGAAGTCTTGCTGGCATGTGGAATCTAAAGTGTATTCTATCAAAGAAGACTCAGACTATGCATATACACTTAACAAATCTTATAAGTGTGCATGCATAAATGGTCTCATAGGTGTATCAATATTTGCCCGATCATGCTGAAAATTTCAATAAATACAGAAAAGAGACGGGCTATTATTTTTATTTGTTTTCTTTTTTCATTCAAGATAAATTTTAAGATACATTTCTAAAAATGTGAGTGTGTGTCGAAAGTCGATGTTGCAAAATGATGTTTTAAACCGTGTGTGCCACTCTGACTGTGCATTACAGCCTTGGAGCGTCGTCGCATCAATGTAACATACAGTTGGAGATAATTTTGTGGTTGGCGAGGAATTTTATAAACGCTGCCAGTTACTCTGTTATGAAGATAAGCCTTCTTAAGCCTTGGTATTACATTGCGGTGACCACCATGCGTTGCGCAACCTCGAAATGATATAAACATGTAAAAAGTAAAAAACAAATATGCAATTACGTTCGTCTTTGGAAGGAACTGAATTTAAATGATTTTCAGCATTTACAATGCAATGGAGTTTAAATAATTATATACTAGTAAACAAATTATTTTTTACCAGTCTTTGATTGGTGTACTCCAGCGTAGACCAATCCTAGGGCTATGTCACGCTGTTGAATAGATAATGTACCCATCTGTTATGTTTTTCTGATATGTGGATCTCTGTTGTATTCGATAATATCATGTGCAATTATCTTTCACGCATTCATTCAATTTTTTCGTGCATTGTATGAATTTTGTACGTTCACGGTTGAACGCGCCGCATAATTAAATTTGACAAGTTTGAGCACGAGAAAAGTGTGGAAATGCAGCCAATAGTCAGAACCCAAAATTTTGTAAAGAAATATTGATGAACAAAAAAGTTATAAGGACATAAAAGGTGCACACTTATAAGATTTATTAAGTGTATAATTAAGTAGGCGGAGTTAATCTCTAAATACTAACAATTTTACAGGAACATCCTTCATTAATTACCTTCGAATATGGGCTATAATGATGCTATTTCAGTCATATAATGATAGAATCATAACAGTGCTAAAACATATTTTTTTCTTTGTTCTTAAGAAATGTTCAACCTTAAAATTAAGATGACGAGGTGATGAACGATTATAGGATATTAGAAACAAGTACGTGTAATGTATTATGACATAATTATATGTATATATTACAAATATCACTCGCACTTACCGCACTGGGATCGAATTTCAATGGGGACTTTGGATTTTGTCATGGGAGGTCGCTTTTCATTTAGCTCGTTAGCTCAATCAGGTGCCCCATATGATCCCCATCAAGGGCCTCACTTGAGTCAAAATAATGCATAGAAGGGTATCAAATATTGCCCAAAAGAATTTGCCCTAGAACAGCAGGGTGTAAAAACCCAGTCAACCGCTGGTTATTCGTGCAAACGAATCAATACGGCGTCTTTAGAAACTGTTTTAAACATTGATATAAGCAAAACTATTGTATCGTTTGGATATTCTTATAAAACATCTCTTGAAAAATAAAGGCCAATAGAGCAGTGACTGTAAGTGATTTAGTACGCAAATTTATATGATGATTAATTAAATTTTGTTTTAGAATACATTATTATTTGCTTTATATAGATATGTCTTTTCTCACCTGATCATATATAAAGAATTCAAATACGTAGATTCAGTATCGTAACACTAAATACTACCAACCTTTTTATACAGGCCTTCCAGTATAGATCAATTCACTTTAAGTTTATAGAGTGATTTCAAATGTAAATACAGCTATAATATCATCTACACCTGCCACATTAATATTCACATATTCTCACATATACTCACATATTTACCATATAGAGCAACTCCTATTATTCCAACTGTTTTGTTCTTGTTTTGTAAATTAATATTTAATTAAGTAAATGATGAATAAGAATATTTTCTTGTTCCTATAAGCACCATTACATCATTTTAAACATGTAATGTTTATGTCATATGACTTTCTTTTACTTCCTTGAACTCTTAAAATTAGTGTTGCGCACTTAAATGATTTCCGCAGATTGTAGTACTTTCTACGTAGTGAAAAATACCAAAGCAACTTTCGTTTTTTACAAAGCGAGAAATAAAGGACTCCACTAAAGTCAACTTTTACAGACTACAATGAAAAACATACAAAAGACAAGGAAGAAGTATACGCAGAATAAGTTTGAAAATCATTTTTATGGTACTGTGCGTTTTGTGAAATGAAAATTAAATACTGACTTGTCTTGACTCATTTTTGTGATTATTAGCCCGATTTGATTTAGAAGCTTTTAAATTTTGGGTTATTTTGCACAACAGAAATTATCATTCTGGAAAATTGGAGTGAACGAATGATAGGAAATAAATGAACTTGACCAAGACCTAATCTATGGTAAAAAATATTTGCAGTCTAGTACGAAAATGTCATAAACCTCAGTGGAGTACCTTTTAACAACTTGTTTTATTTATTTTAAGTATACATGCGCTTTAAATGATAACTTTGAAGTCATTGAAAAGATTAGCAATAATAAATATGATATCTATTACTCATGTATAATTGTTTTAATTTTTAACTGGGTCGATTTTAAGTTGATTAGAATTCATAACGCTATTTGCTACAGAATACAGAAAATTGTTGGTATTGCGCGTTTTGTAAAATATCAATCGAGGTAACTGGCCGATAAAATTTATCAGTCCTACAAAAGTCATATAATATTAAAGCTCAACGAGGAAGGAAATCATCTGTTGTTAATTAACTTTATACGTTGTACATTAACGTCTTAACGTAATTATTGCAGGTGTCAAACGCTATATACCGATTACTCAGCTTTGAGGAGACTCGGACTCTAGCGCCCAGTGTTAATTAAGCACTCTGTGCACGCCCTCAGCACAATGCGGCCAGCGAGTCCGATCTCGTCAATTAAACAGTCTCTGTAACTGTCTGTCCTAGAAGATAAAACATCGTACGATCGGCAGTGTGATCGTATGACTTCACCAGTGTCGTATTCAACACTTATGTACTCTAGAAATATATTAGGTTTATTAAATTGTTGCTCAGTGTACCGCACCTTGAATTTCTGGAGTCCTTAATTAAGTCACGAATTTGTATAATTAATTGCGTTCTTAATCATTAAGATGTTTTTTTTTCACAAGGAAAAATAGATATATCTGCGCGGTACTGTACAAAAGTAACGTCAAAATTGTGCCATTTAATGGTCGCAACGAGTAATACATTTAGTACACAGAATAAAATTATTTATTGATAATTACTGTAATGCTTATACAACTTTATCGTTTTGATTTCCGGTATACCTTGGACATTAAGTACAGTATAGAAGAATTCTGGAACTGTTTATGAGGTAGTCAGCGTTGCCTCAGAAATCGCTGAGACCATAAAAACGTGCCACATTCATTTATTTGGTCGGCTTACTACAGGAACAACAATGCAAATTTTGTTGTTGTTTTGTTTTATGTAATATCTCTTGGCTACGAGATGTGGATTGTTTGTTTGTTTTGTTTTTTTCCTTTCTTAGTTGTATCTCGTGGGAACGAGGTAGCACTTTGTTTTAAGTTTTTCCCCCTGAGTTATATCTCGTGGCCACGAGGAAGCATTATGTTTTGTTGTTGGTTTCTTAGTTACATTTTGTGAGGCCATTCCAATTGTTTCTTATCCTATCCCGTGACCACGAGATATAACTCAGAAAAAAAACAAAACAATATGCAATCTTGTTGCAAGGCAAACATATCTGAATGTCCCCTCTGTGCTTCCGTAGGATATACAAGGTTTGGTTTGACTATGAAATAAAATGAAAAAAAAAGAAGAAAAAACGTAATTAATTTCAAACGAATTATTTTCTTTAATACAATTCCTATATTCTATATAATTTTTTCAGTTACGCTCCTTCCTAAACACCAAGTTTTTTTTATAATTCTGATCTTTTACAGATGTGCTTTTATAGAGCTAATTGTCGGCAAACATAAAATATCGGGTTCTAAATGATATGTGATATTGATGTAAATGAAATCGTGACGATATTAAACCTAATTGGAATTACTGTCCGATTTCTATTCGAGTATAGAATGTCGAAGACATTAAGAAACAAATACATTTACAAAAAAGTAAAAATAAAATCAAACACACACACACAAAAATTCAAGATCGTGTTGTATATTTTTTGTCTCTAAATGAGGTATTGCTTTTTTTTGCAAAAGAAGTACTATTCTACTAAATTTGTTAATTTTTTGAAAAGAATTTTCCAATCAGAAACTTTACTTGCATCAGACGCCTTTGTTTATATACAGAGTTATAACCTCTGATTTCGTAAGGCATTTGTTAAATAAGACCATATATACAATGTTAGATCTCTTTTGTTTTGTTTTGCCTCCTTCAATATTTTAACGAATGTACATACCCATGTAAATAGAGCAGGTGAATACCTTCACAATGATGTATACATGTAGCTAAAGATCTTACTGAAGAATAGAGAAATGCCATGCGAATAGAAAAACTCGTTGAGTGCTATAGTAAAATTGTTGATATAAGCGTTTACAAGAAGACATATGGGTTTATATAAAATTTCGTTCTATGATTGGTTGTCATTTGAAGCAGATATTTACTGAAATATCTGATATTTGCAAAACCTCTAATTAGTGTTTTGACACAGGTTTCAGTAGGAAAAAGAAATATGATTCTTGTTTTGAAATGCACCCGAATCAGGATCAGGTGCCAAAGTATAACAAATGTAAAAGAAATTGTTGACAGCAATGCAAGATATACGTTTTTCAATCTTCAGTATCAAATGCTCTATGCATTCTTAAGAATATTAATCTTAAGGTGGGTGCTTCATTTTTTAATGACGATCGAGCTTAAATAGCAAATCAGTTGCTCAAAACATTTTCAAAATATAATTAAATGAAATGTGCAAATATAGCAACTGGTGCATAAGTTTGAACCACTGAGAAAAATTTGACAATTTATAAAAGTGAGCTACCATGTATTGTGTGGCATTTTCTAGTGTAGGTGTTGCAATTTTAATTCCAGTGAAAAAGGCAAATGTGTCAGTGGAAAGCACTTTACAGATGTAGTATTGAAGAACGTTATAATACTATCAAAACATTTTCGACTTCTATACGAAAATGCCTCAGCTCATAAGTCAGCCAGTATTAGACTTTTTGACAAAAGAAATTGTAACTGCTACTGCACCCTTCTTTATTCACCAGACATTGTCCATTGTGACTTACCAGTAAACCCAAAATCAGCGTACCGAGACGTGCAGTTTACCGTTCTTATACATCTGATTTAAAATGGCAGCATGCACATCCTCTCTGTTGATAATTGTTTCGCCATCTTTGTTGGTAGCACCTTAACACGGAAAATCAACACGGTATCACGGTTAATTAACAAATCAGTTTATCGTAAAAGACAGTTTATATAATGATGTGTATAAAGTTAACAGTGAAGACCTCGTATAATCTTTTTTAACAAAAATACGAATTTGAACTTGTATCTGTTACATTTAACTTTGTGTAGCTCAAAGATGACGACAAAAAAAAAAAACAACAACATAAAACGTTAGAAATTTGGAAATAAAAAAACGTAACTATATAATTGTTGACAAAGTCATTCCAATATTGCAGCTTTTACGGATGGCTGTACTTTAGTTAACCAGTTACTTTAAAAAGCTAAGAAGTAGATCTAAGTGTACTTAATTATTTATTTTATTATGAAATATCTCCAAGAATTGTGAGCATTAAAATTACGCTTCATTGCCGAATATATAATTGGCAAGAGCGAAACAGAAAAACATCTGTTAGTGGTTGATTCTGATAACTGTTCGAACCAAGTGTACAATTTAAAAAAAAAACAGGGAAAAAATCATGCTACTAAAAAGAGGAATTGTTGCAAAATAATTATCAACAAAAAATTATTATAAAAAATGATTTCTTTAGAACGGTTTAATATTGACAAGGGAAATTTGATAAATATAAATTCTTACCAGAAGTGTCCTTCTGAATTCACATGAAATAATAAAACACTTTTATTTTATGTATCATTCAAAATGACACATTACACATGCTACCCTTTTAGGTAATATTTTCTGGCGATCAAAAATGCAAATTTCAAATGTGGTGAAAAGTATATAAATTTTGTGAGGAAAAATAGGTCTATTTTTACCAATTTTGAGTTGAAAGCGTTACCTAGAAGAAAGAAGAAAGAAGGAATAGAAATGTATATACCTCATTTGTATCTAATTAAGGTGTTTGTACCTATTTTGTATACTGAATAAAGCCTTTCAAAATTGGGCTTCAAATGAAGTTTTTTTTGTTTTGTTTTTTTAAA